CTGTAACTATTGACAGAAAAAGAAATCCAACACCCACAGTAGGATAAAATTAAAATAATTTTCATATTCTCTTTATATTTCTCCAGAAGACATTAATATACTCAGAAAAAACTGCAGAGGATGTTTGAAAAACCAAGAAAGAATTTTACCAGACTATTTGTTACACAAAATTGCCCTTACTTAAGTACAATTCTCCAGGAACAGATTGCAAGGATTTAAAATACAATCACATGAAGAGTAAGAACACATGGTTCTTAAATTAGTCATAAGTAAAACTCAAATAACTTTCGTACATTGTTTCTCTCTTCAGCATTAACCACTTCAGCTTTTTCAGTCAATTATTTTCTGTTTGGATATGCTAAAATCAAAACAATAACATATCTAATTTCTGTTCTATCTTAGTCATGGATTGTCTTAGGCAGTTAACACATCTATAATATTTACTTTCCATAGCTAATCTGAGAGATGTTAAGATTTATTCACTTAAAAAAATCAAGCTTGGGTTGATCATTTGGTGCAGTGGTTAAAAACTACCTGGACCCCACACCTCAACTCGGAGAGCCTGGGCTCAAATCCTGGCTCTGCTCCTTATACAGCTTCTTACAAATGTGCACCCTAGAAGGCAGCAGGTCCATGGCTCAAATACTTGGGTTCCTACTTGCCACCCACATGGGAACCTGGACTGAGTTCTAGGCTCCTAGCTTAGGCCTGATCCAGCCCTGGCTGTTGTGGGCTTCTGGGACATGAGGCAGAGCATGGAAGATCTCTGTGTCTCTGACTGTCTCTCTGCCTTTCAAATAAAAATGTTTTTAAGTATTTGAAAGATGGTAATGCACTGTATATTTCAGGGAGTTCTGCTTAGTAACACTAAGGACACAGTTCATTTCTGCTCCAACTACTTATAAAGTTGTAAGAGATATCTTGGATCTTATGACAATTTATTTTTTATAATAGAAGAGTTCTTTCAACTATAATATACACAAATATTTTAGTATTATTTTTCAGTTTTGATATTCTGACTAGTCATTAAAATCTATAAATACAATGTTAACCCATTACATATGTTTTGTTGGATCTAGACTTTCCCCTAGTTTTTTTGAAAGGCAGAAAGAGACAAAGAGATCTCTCAACTGCCAGAGTTGGGCTATGCCAAAGCCAGGAGCTGGGAACTCAATCCTATCTCTCACGTGGGTGTCAAGGACCCAAGTAGTTGAGCCCTTTCCTGCTGCTTCCCAGGGTGCATGTTACAAGAAGCTGGAGTCGGGAGCAGAGCTAGGACTTAAACCTAGGCACTACATCATGGGAAGCAGGTGTCCCAAGCAGCACTAACCACAATGCTAAACAACCATCCTATGGATCTAGACTTCAAATAGGTAAGTAACATGTTAAACATAGTCTACCTAGAAGCAATGATTATACAATTAATAGAAATTTCCTTTTTGAGAATTCTCAGACTTCATATTCTTTAAGTAATTATTTCAATCATCTGCATTTATTCCCATCACAAAAACAGCAGAAAATCCTAGAGAACATTATGTATTAATTATCAGTACTAAGATACTCTCTTTTGGACATGATGCCCTAGGTGCCTGGCAAAATTACAAGTCTAGATGTCTTTTAAGTGTTTAACTATGTGAGCCAACTATACGAGTTCCTAGCTGAAACACAAACCCATGAGCAAGATGCCTAAGATAGGTAAAAAACAAAGGGGAACAATATAAGACTTTTCTAAACTATTGATCGGATTCCTACAACTAATTCAGCATTCCCAAGTGGATTCACAAATTCATTGGCTAAAGCATGCTATTAGCAAAAAACTGCCCTCTAATTTGGTCCTTTATGAATCACTTAGCTTGACACAGCTTTGCTTTCTTCTTTTTTTTCTCTTATCATGGGCATTATACGATCATGGATACTACAGTAGTAAAATGTATTTACATAATCACAAATTTATAGAAGAGTTAAGAGTACAGTGTAAGTAACTTCTTTTCCCTTAATTTTTGAGCATAAGATGTCTACATCCCATAACCCATCCCCCATAAATAATTGAGTATGTAGATACTTCATACAAAAAAGGACATTCCCTATGTAACTACAACTGGAAACTGGAGTAAATATATTACTACTTAATTCTCACATCACACTGAATATTATCCTAACAATGTCATGCCAAAAGAATTCTGTTTTAAACTGTCAAGTGCCTTTACTTCTACTTTAGTTTCTCAATTTTTCCTTTATTTTGACACTTCATGAGTTACAGAACAGATATTTTGTAGAATATACCTTAATTTTGTCTGTATGATATTTCCTTGAGATTACATAGGTTATACATCTTTCACAGAAATATTACAGAATTGATGTTACAGTCTCATTTCCAGCTTTCTATTTATAAAATTATCCTTTCCCACTTTTGTCATTAACATGTATTTTGGGGAGAGGTACCTTGAAACTATAAGATTCTGATACTCATCACACTTTCAGCTAACTGACTGTGTGGTTATGGTTTCCTATTTTATTCAACAGAGTAATCTACTACTGATACTTGACACTCAAATATCCCAGATTTGCCAGTGAAAAATCCCTTCAAACTGGCTTGTCTATGTGTGTTTTAACATGTCTCTCATTATTCTTGGAGCAAGTCCTTGTTTTCTACCACACAATACTTTAGGATTTGTCTTGTACTTTCCTTGCCCTAGACCTGGAACCAATCATTTTTCTAAGGAGCCCTGATTCCTTTTGGTAGAGAATGGTATTTAGAAGTCAAAAACCTACACATCAGGTATACTCTTTGCTATTGGGATATGGCAGCTCCCAAGTCCTCTCAATGCATGTGTATGTACACATAGACATATAAACTAACATCCACAGTTATTTCTATATGAATCTCTGAAAACTACAGCAAACCTCCAATTCCATTCCAACACTACAGGGTTCATTTTAGTTTTTTTCCACTTCATTATTTTTAAGTCTTTTCCCTGACAGGAGAAATTTTATTATCTTCAGTATACTTACTTACCTGATCAATCCTTCCCGTAAGTACCCTTCTCCCATTTCCATCACCACCCCTCCCTCATGCAGATGACTTTTTATGCCTGATTTGCCTTTTTTTTTTTTTTTTTTTTGGACAGGCAGAGTGGACAGTGAGAGACAGATAGACAGAGAGAAAGGTCTTCCTTTACCATTGGTTCACCCCTCCAATGGCCGCCGCGGCAGGCGCGCTGCAGCCAGCGCACCGCGATGATCTGAAGCCAGGAGCCAAGTGCTTCCTCCTGGTCTCCCATGCGGGTGCAGGGCCCAAGCACTTGGGCCATCCTCCACTGCCCTCCCGGGTCACAGCAGAGAGCTGGCCTGGAAGAGGAGTAACCGAGACTAGAACCTGGTGTGCCAGTGCCGCAGGCGGAGGATTAGCCTATTGAGGCGCCCTGATTTGCCCTTAACAATTCCTCTCCAGGCCAAATCTTACTCCCACACTGCTGGCAACTTCCTCATATAGATTAAACTCTAACACTCCATTCCCTGTGCCCAACCCATGGGGATGCTTTCCTCACCCTGCCCAGATTCTGACAATCCATGTTACCCACATGATGTATGGACATCTTTCTAAATCTGTTTAGGTTCTTTTCTTTTTCTTTCTTTCTTTTTTTTTTTTTTTTTTTTTTGACAGGCAGATTGGACAGTGAGAGAGACAGAAAGGTCTTCCTTTTCCGTTGGTTCACCCCCTAATGGCCGCTGCGGCTGGTGCACAGCGCTGATCCGAAGCTAGGAGCCATGTGCTTCTCCTGGTCTCCCATGCGGGTGCAAGGCCCAAGCACTTGGGCCATCCTCCACTGCACTCCCAGGCCATAGCAGAGAGCTGGACTGGAAGAGGGGCAACTGGGACAGAATCCGGCGCCCCAACCGGGACTAGAACCTGGTGTGCCGGCGCTGCAGGTGGAGGATTAGCCTATTGAGCCATGGCGCTGGCCATGTTTAGGTTCTAAAACATTATAGCACTTTGCTTCCCAGCATGGACACCCTATTCTGCTTCTCCTCTGATTCTCCATGCCAGACTATGGATCTGCAGGGATATTTTCCTCTCATGGATTAGGTTCCAACATTCCAAGCTAGGCTGCTGCTCCTTCCTCACCCACTCTGGGCCATCATTCCCCCATCTCCTGTCTCCAGCATGGATACTCATCACCTGGCTTTGTAACACCTAATGACATTAAGACTGAAAGAAAAGGAGATGGTTTCAACATGCATTTAAAATACCAGAATACCTTAAGATAATTACTCTTTTTTTTTTTTTTTTTTTTATTTGAGAGGTAGAGTTACAGACAGTAAGAGAGAGAAAGGTCTTCCTTCCGTTGGTTCACTCCCCATTGGCTGCCACAGCCGGTGCTGTGCCAATCCGAAGCCACGAGCCAGACCAGGCTGAAGCCAGGAGCGTATTTCTGGTCTCCCACACAGATGCAGGGGCCCAAGCACTCAGGTCATCCTCCACTGCCCTCCTGGACCACAGCAGAGAGCTGGACTGGAAGAGGGGCAGCCAGGACAAGAACCCGGCGCCCATGTGGGATGCTGGCGCCACAGGCGGAGGATTAACCAAGTGAGCCACAGCGCTGGCCTTGATAATTACTCTCAATTGTAGAAATATTTAGGTGAAATACCTGGTTGGAGCATGTGACAGCCCACCTCAGACAAAACAAAGAGGTGAAAATTAAGGACACTCAAGTTGGGGTCCACAGGTTTAGAAAAGATTCCCAGTCTACATGTGGACAGGTTAAGGTTTGGGACTTGACCGCTAATACAAAGCTCATGATTTAGTAAAATCATGCAAGATACTTCTAAGAGGTGTGGTCTATAATTTCTAGCAGGTCACCACAACTTTCATCATAAGTGGTCAATGACGAAAACAGATGTAATTTAAATTTCATTAAAATCCATAAGTAAAATCTGTAACTCATAACATTTATAGCAGTTACAAAAAATAAAGGCACTGTAGATACACTGTTACTTACTTTATCTACACAATCATCAAAAAATGCCAGGCTTGCATCTTTATCACTGACGAAAGAGCATTCCTCAATGAAGCGAATAAACATTTGTGTTTTGGTCATCATATTGTAGAATTTTTGATGTGACCGATCCCGGCTTCTTAAAAAAGCTGTTCAACACAAATATACAATGTCAGAATATATATCATCATTCTTATTCATAGAATTTTTGAGCAAGGAGGAATCTGATCAATCATCCCATCTACACACTGTGTACACATACTATTTCACAGAAAAAGAAAAAGTGACCTGACAAAGAAATAGCAAAGCAATAGGGAAGGAACACAAAGATCTCTCAAGCCCTCATCTAAAATGTCTCCACTGTCTTCTCACTGCCTTGAAGATTACATATAACTAGTGAATCTCAAAGTATTTCTAAAGCTGCTATTTTTTACCCAGATGCCTTGCATATCATGCACACATTTGCTCTCACGCAAGAGAGAGATATATGGCTTCTTCAAAGCAGTGACCCCTTCTCTTGTGTTCATTTAAACTCATGTCTTTCTTACAGAAAACATCATAAAAGTTTATTTCCTGATTTCACATTCTACCTCATTTATGCTCAATTATACTGCACTTGGGCCTTCTTTTGGGCTCATGAACTCAAGCTCTTTCCAGGCTCAAGTCCTCTGCATAAACTGTTCTCTCTGCATAAAACACTCTCCACGAGATTCCTGTTGCCTAATTTCTACTCATTTTTGGGATCATGGCTCAGCTGTTATTTCAGAAAGGCCTTTTGTGATCTAAAGTTGTTCAGTGATACTATTTTATAATTGCTTATCCTCTTGTCTATAAGCTCTGTGAGAGAAGTGGCCATTTCTCTCTTTTTTTGTGACCATGTCTATTTTTCATACCCAAAGCCTAGAGATTGGAGGCAATCAACCTCAATTACACTTATTAAATGAATTTCTTTCAAATGCTAAATATTACAAAAGAAAATAAATACATAATATGATACCAATTATAGTCCAGGGCTTCCTAGCCTTTCTGACTTCACAGCATAAGCAAAAAATATTTGGGAATCATGCTGAAACAAAACAAATGAAGGTACTCAAGCCTGGAGGTGACCAGCTCAGGTGACCTCTGTACTTCCAACGCTGCTTAAAAGCTGAAAACATCAAAATCTTAACACACATGTGGCCCAACACAGTGCTATACAGTTAGGGGCTCTGTACTACATAATAATATTTTGCTAATAGGATTATATCTAATGTGCCTGAGAAACAACTAGTCCTATGGAAATGGATTACCAATAGAGTTAGTTTTCATATATGCTAAAAATAGGTGGTGTATATTTTGGTATATATGGGCTACCAACCCAGATAGCAATGGAATCATCCCAAAGTTAGGTCAACAGCAAAAGAGCTATAAAAATCATGTTCTCACTTACCCTGCAGGGCAAAAAGAGAAGTTGCATCTGTGGCTGTCTCAGATGGGGCTTGTGTTATTGGCCTTAAGTAAGATCTATAGCCTTTTAAAATAGAGGCCATGAAAAACAAAAATGCCTCTTGAATTTCCAAATCTATCATGTGCAACCTCTTTCCAGAATTAAAATCATAGTCATTCATTGCTAAGTCCATCAGTCCATCATCTCGTGGTCTCTGCTGCACTGTGAAGAAGCACAGTGTTAGTTGTTTTCTTCAAACTGTCAAAACTAATGTTCATATCAATATAAATTTGTTTTATTTTCAAAAGGGTTCAACCTAGCTCAACCCTTTATTTACATAACTTTATAATATGTAAACCTTAGTAAAGCTTGCCATTATCTCTTTTAGGCTTTCCATAGTAAACATAAAATTATTCCTGCTTATCTAACTACCATCATAAAAAAGGTTTATGTTCAGAAACAACTATACATAAATATGGTAATAAAGACCAAACAGCACAGAAACTGGAAACAAGATTAAATGCAATAACCCTTCCTCCCTCCCTTTTGAAACATAGTTTAAAAAGATTCAGCCCTTCAGTAGAGTTGACTGGGCTGGTTCATTGATTTTAATGTATCTAAACATCACTACAATTGGTGCTGAACTTTTCTGCTATTCAAGAGAAATACAAGTACTTTTATGAAACAACTATGGTAACAAATAAATAGGTACATAACTGATGTGTTCCATAAGATAAAATCTTGCTATATTTGATGTTTTTCCCATATCTCAAAACTTACAAGTTCCTTTGTAATTATCTACTTGTTACAAGAATTTACTCTGTAAAGATTTATTTACTCATTTGACAAGCAGAGTGATAGTAAGCAAGAAAGAGAGAGAGAGAGAGAAAAAGAGAATAAATATCTTCCATTTTCTGGAACACACCCCAAATGGCTGCAGAAGCTACAAGCCTGGAATCCTATCCAGGTCACCCACATGAGTGGTAGGGGCCCAAGCACTTGGACCATCTGCTGCTGCTTTCCCAGACCCATTTAGCATGGAGCTGGATTGGAACCAGAGTAGCTGGGACTCAAACTGGCACTCCAAGATGAGATGCTGGTGCGGTTCATCCTGCTGCAATACAACGCTGGCCCTGATTTTACACTGAAAACTGACTTTTTCCACGTCTATTTCCAACTATACCATAAGCATCTTGAACCCTCAAAGGTGTGGGCTACCTCCTCTGTGTGTGTGTATATATATATATATATATATATTTATATTTTTTTTTGACAGGCAGAGTGGACAGTGAGAGAGAGGGACAGAGAGAAAGGTCTTCCTTTGCCGTTGGTTCACCCTCCAATGGCCGCCGCGGCCGGAGTGCTGCGGCCGGTGCACCGCGCTGATCCAAAGGTAGGAGCCAGGTACTTATCCTGGTCTCCCATGGGGTGCAGGGCCCAAGTCCTTGGGCCCTCCTCCACTGCACTCCCTGGCCACAGCAGAGAGCTGGATTGGAAGAGGGGCAACCGGGACAGAATCCGGCGCCCCGACTGGGACTAGAACCCGGTGTGCCGGCACCGCAAGGCAGAGGATTAGCCTAGTGAGCCGCGGCACCGGCCCTCCTCTGTCTATATTTCATTTAATATAAAAACAAGAACTGAGGCCATATTTCACAGATAAGTATTAAGTTATAGATTCTGAATGAGCTGTTATAATGCCTAAGAAATTTATCTGGATAAAGAAATACAAGTTTAATTATTCTTACTGGTAATTCTGAATCATTGTCAATAAATACTCTTACATAAGATTTACTAAAATATTCTACATCTGAATAAATTCTCATTTTGATTAATTTCTTAATATTTTTGGCAAATTTCTATATTCAAACTATTTGAGTAAGCTCAGTATGAAGAGCTCAGCATTTCACAGAAGATGAAAACCATATGATCTAGCTCTTACCCACCACTGAAATCATCAGCATTTTCTACTGTAGTTTAAACCATCTGTCTTAGATTTTCAAAATTTTCTATTCCATTTATTTGAAGAAAATATACAAATGGAAGCCCCCCCCCCTTTTTAGCATGGTGTGTCAGTAATGATAAAATTAAAGAAATCAACTATTTTAATATCTTTAAAAATTTTTATTACTTTAAACCAGAATATGAAAATTTGGTAAATGTGAAGTACATATTTTATAAATCTTCAATTCAGTTTCTAACAAATTTTGCTTTTACGCTCATTTTCCTTAAAAAGCATATAAATATTTTTCTTTAGATAAAACAAACATTACCCTTTTATAAGTAAGGCAAAATAACCTGATCCCCTTTCCCAGATTAAATCACCTCTGCTAACTGAATTATCCACTTACATTTTGCCAGTTGCTGGTGCAAATTATTTAGTGTGTTCATCAAGTTTTTACAAGGCTTCTTTGGAAGTATCTTCCATGCCACATTTTTCTTGTCACCATTTCTGAGATTAAATCACAACAATAATATATTTGTTACATGGGCTTTTTTTTGGGAGGGAAACCTATTATTATATGAACAAAAAAATGAAACACATACAAAACATTCTAGTTAACAGGAGAAAACCCTGTGGGGTAAATTGTGATACTGTATACTTAAAAGCTAACTTTTTAAAAGATTTGTCTATTTTTAATTTATTTGAAAGGTGGTGGTGGTGGGGATAGTGTCTATCTGCTGGTTCACTCCCTAAGTGGCCACAAAATCCAGAGCTAAGCCAGGAGCCAGGAACTCCATCCTGGTATTCCACATGGATGGCAGGGGCCCAAGTACTTAGGCCATCTTCTGCTGATGAGCAGGAAGACTGATCAGAAGTAGAGCAGCCAGAACTCAAAACTGGAGCTCTGATATAGGTTGCCAGTGTCTTAAGTGGTGGTTAAACCCTCTGAGCTACAATGCGGCCTCTAAAAACTAATTTATATGAGGGGAAAACCTTGCAAACATAGCTCAAAACTTATAATTATGTTAGCACTTGGCAAAGTCTATGTCCACTGGCATCATGCTAATCATTACAAAGCTTAATGTAGTGGTTATTACTCTTAAAGCCCATTTAAGAGTGTTTAGACATGTGAATATTAGAAAAATGCTATTCCAAGAAATTTTCCTTATATACTTTAAAAAGCATTATAGGGGCCGGCATTGTGGTGTAGCTGGTAAAGCCACTGCCTGTGATGCAAGCACCCCATATGGGCACCAGTTCAAGTCCCGGTTACTTTACTTCCAAACCAGCTTCCTGCTAATGGCCTGGGAAAAACAGTGAAAGATGGCCCAAGTATTTGGACTCCTGCCACCAATATGGAAGACCTGGAAGAAATTCCCGGCTTCTGGTTTTAACCTGGTCCAGCTGTTGTGGTCATTTGAGGAATGAACCAGAGAATGGAAGATCAATCTCTTCTTCTCTCTTGCTCCTCTGCCCCGCTCTGTAACTCTGCCTTTCAAATAAATAAATAAATCTTCGGAAAAAAAAAAAGAAAAACCATTATAAAAATTTGCAATAAACTAATGATCCATAGAGTTTATCAAAATATTTTGATGCACTTAAATATTTAGTTTCTTAGGGTAAGTAAAAAAAAGTGTAAGTAAAGATTATTTTTGTTTATTTCAAAAAAAGAAATAATCCATACTACTAAATTACTTGTTTAAGGCAGAGCATTCCACAAGACTGTTATAACTGTAGAAAGGATATCTGTTAGAAAGTTAGGTATCTTTGTTTTTGGATAGGATCTTATAATCTCCTCTATTATAGCTATCAAATAAGTATAAGCTATGTGCTCTTTGATAAATGGCTTTAAAAATCTAAGTTTGGGCTTCCTTGCTTGGCAGATGGGTTAAAAACTATCTCACAATGTACAGAGATTAATATGAGATAGGTTATGCACATATCTTTATGCCTAGTACATGCTAGATATTAATTTCTTTCCTTTCTTCAGAAATTTGATATTCAGAACTCTGTATTATAGATATCTAAAAGAGGAGGAAAAGGAACCCAAAAATTCCATACTCAGGATTTTTTTTTCTTAAAAATTTCAATTTGGGGCTCCAGAATTTCTGAATAAAAGAAAGGTGAAGGTTGTTAAGTATACAAGCCTAGTCCTCTCATATGTTTGGAAGGAAAATGACAGCATGAAAGAGGAATATTTATGGGTGTAAAAAACTCATACATTTTTGGTTCTTTAACTCATAAAAAACTGATCAAAGCAAAGAATATATAAATCAGGAAGGAAAAATTCCCTGAACAAATATTCGAGGAGGGAAATACTAATTACCCTGATTTGATCATTATACAGTTTAAATGTATTTCATTATACATTAAAACCATGAACATGTATAATTTTGCATCAATTACAAATGAAAAAAAATCTTCTCTGAAAACAAAAAAATACAGTTTCAATAGCTACAACATAAATATTATTCCAATATAAAAAGAGAATAGTTATAAAATCCTTGTATTCTAGAATATAAAGGTGATGAGTTTATGTATAATTTTCAGAGTTACTTAAACATTTTAAAACATTACTTTTCCTATAATGCATTTATATTCTATATATATATATTTATACAAAACTAAGATTGAAGTATTAATCCAGGACTAATATTTTGATTCAATTTGTCATTTTATTACCCTTATTCATCTGACCAAAGAGAAATAAATTTTCTACTTCTACCCTCAATTACCTTCTGCTAAATTTATAAGAAAGTCTACAATTATAATGTTTCTAAATTTTTAAAGCTTGAGGACTGGGGCTGGCATTATGGCATAGCAGTTAAGCCTCTGCCTGTGATGCCAGTAACCCATATGGGTGCTGGTGCAAGACCTAGCTGCTTTACTTATGATATAGCACCCTGCTAATGCACCTGGGAAAGCAATGAAAAATGGCCCAAGTGCTTGGGCCCCTGCACCCATGTGGAACACCTGGAAGAAGCTCTGGACTCCTGGCTTCATTCTGGCCCAGCCCCAGACATTGTGGCCATCTAGGGAGTAAACCAGCAGATGAAAGACTTCTCTCTCTCTCTTTCTCTCTCTCTCTCTGTAACTCTGCTTTTTAAATAAATAAAAATAATAATTCTTTAAAATAATAGTTTAAAAAAAGCTTGAGGACTAAAGGTATATTTTCTTCCCAATAAAACCTTTAATGCCTTACATCTACTCCATCAAAGTATAGTAAACATGAATTCAAAAATAGCGATATCATCAAAGATGAAGAAAACAACGTATTTCAAAAGAATCCTACTTAGTGATTACAATTACCATTGTATTTGGAAATTATTAGGTTGCATCACTAAAATGTACTTACTGAGAAATGGTGTTGGTATCCAGGTCAACACAACTGACATCTGGTGGAGGATCATAGAGATCAAAGTATCTTGAATCAATCCCTACTATGAATGGACATGGTGCACTCAAGACATCTGCCAAAGCCAGTGGGCAGAGAGGCACATATGGGCATGGCCAGTGGAAAGGAAAAATCATCTTGGATAAACAAAGGGTAGGAGAGTATTTAGCTTTTGACATGGCAGCATAATTTATCAGCACACACACAAAATTGTCTTTTCAATATTATCACCTAAAGTTTAATGCTTAATAATGAATTAAACAGTTGTAACTAATGAGTTAATGATCAGGAAATTAAAGTTGCTTCCAAAACATAATTCATCACTCTGAATTTTAGGTAAGCATTCAAATAGCTTTTAATTGTATGCATAAATTAAATTGAAAATAAATTGATTGCTAATGAGAAACTGTGATACTTACAGACACTAATGCTTCTGTCACACTAGTAAGCACAGAAGGTCGTAAGGAATGAATGAGAATTTTATGTTCTGTTACTGCAAACACCAGTAGTGTTACAGCATTCTCAGGGCCTAGATTCTGAAGTAGTGTTGAAAACTTGCCACCACTGTCAATCCAAATAAAAACGTATAATTAAAAAATAGACATACACACCTACTTATCTAAAACAAGGGAGAAAAGTTCAAGGTTAGGGTCTGACTTGTATTATATATTCATCTCTTTTTTTATGCAGGGAGAACACTGTATCACACATGATGAAAATAATTCAGTTTTATAGGGCTTCAAAATCATTCATTCTTCTGTAGTATATTCAATATGGAAAATGAAAATTCACTGCTTCATTTTATATAAAAATATCTGACATATATGCATGTCCAAATAACAAATTCAATTTACAAATAGGATGCTTTGGTTGAAAACAAATTTTTAAATGGAAATCTTTGAGCATGGAACATCTACTGTAATTATCAGAAAAACTATATGAATGTAAGCCCAACCTCCCTTAAGGTAAATAAGTATACATATTAAAATCCAGATTTATAAATGGATAATTCTTACTATTGTAATGGTAATAGTTATAGGAAATCAAGTGCTATAAAGTGATGAAATACAAAGCAAATTAATAACTAAAACAATAAACTCAGATCTCACAAAGGTAATGAAATACTGTGGCGTAGTGGGTAAAGCCGTCACCTGCAGTGCCGGCATGCAATATGGGCAACAGTTCAAGTCCTGGCTGTTCCACTTCTGTTCCAGCTCCCTGCTAATGTGCCTGGGAAAGCAGAAGAAGATGGTCCAAGTCCTTGGGCCCCTGTACCCACGTGGGAGACCCAGAAGAAGCTCCTGACTCCTGGCTTTGGATTGGTGCAGCTCCAGCTGTTGCGGCCATCTGGGGAGTAAACCACAGATGGAAACCTCTCTCTGTCTACAACTCTAACTCTTTCAAATAAATAAAATAAATATTAAAAAAAAATACTGAATTTACAAAACAGATAGTTCTGTATGCCAAGTAATATTCTGCCTATATTATGTTAAGTAACTGGTTTCAGTAGATTTTTTTTTTTTGACAGGCAGCGTTAGACAGTGAGAGAGAGACAGAGAGAAAGGTCTTCCTTCCGTTGGTTCACCCCCAAAATGGCTGCTACGGCTCGCGTACTGCGCCAATCCGAGGCCAGGAGCCAGGTGCTTCCTCCCGGTCTCCCATGCGGGTGCAGGGCCCAAGCACTTGGGCCATCCTCCACTGCACTCCCGGGCCACAACAGAGAGCTGGACTTGAAGAGTAGCAAGTGGGACAGAATCTGGTGCCCCAACCAGGACTAGAACCCGGTGTGCCGGCGCCGCAGGGGAGGATTAGCCTAGTGAGCTGTGGCACCGGCTCAGTAGATTTAAAAAAAAAAAAAATAAAGCAAAATTCTGGCCGTAGTGGCCATTTTGGGGGTGAACCAATGGAACGAAGACCTTTCTCTGTCCCTTTCTATAACTCTATCTCTCTCTCTCACTGTCTAACTCTGCCTGTCAAAAAGAAAAAAAAAAGAAAAAAAGAAAAAAGAAAAAAGAAATAAAGCAAAACTAGTAACAAAATGTCTCTGGGAGAAGTGAAATCATATCTACAAAAATGTTATGTATGTTCACAGCAACATTACTCACAGCAGCCAAAATGTGGAAACATTCCAACCAATGGATGCATAAATATGGTATCCCTTTACAGTGAATATTAACTGGCAATAAAAAGTGAAGTATGGAATCTCGCTACAGCATGGATAAAACTTGGGAACATGTAAGGTGAAAGAAGCCAGAAACAAAAGGTCACATACAGTATGATTCCACTTATATGAAATGTCTGGAAGAGGCAAATCTATAGAGACAGAGAGCAGATTAGTGGTTTTCCAGGGATGGAGAGAGTGTGAGAATGTGTTTGTGTGTGTGCATGCAAGGATGGGAAGAATGAAGCTACAGGCTTCTCTTTAGGGTGATGGAAATATTCTAAAATTTATGTTGGGGATAGTTAGAGAACTCTGTAAATACAATCACTGAATTGTATACTTAAATCAGGTAAACTGTATGTTTGTGAATTATTTCTCAATATAGCTGATACCCAAAGGAAGTCCATGGGTATTTTAGAACCATTCATACATTGTCACAGTCAATGTTTCTAGTGTGTTTTCAGCTCAAAGTTATGAAAACACTGGTCACTCTGGGCTGAGAGCTGGTGATGAAATCATCTGTAATTCTTACAAAGTTACTGTCAAGAATGGCAGGTGGTTTCCCTTAGGTGCATGCCACATAATAACTTAATTACATTGTAACTATTTCTCTGATGGAAAAATTATACAGCTGATTAAATCTCAAAAAATGAAATTATAGAGAAAACATCTTTCATAATTTCTCTGTACTTTTAAGGTGATAAAATTCATTATTCTATAGTTTAATAACTTTTAAACAGCTTGTTAATTTTAAAATTAATTATATCTAAACATTCTTCAGAGGATAAAGCTAAAAATAATTATGATCCACACATATATGTCCATTTGTGTATCAGTATTTAATGTTGATAAACAGATATACAATTTTTCTTGAAAAATTGTACCCAAATATCTAAGAGAATCTAGATACAAAACAGTTAAATGAGAAGTATTTCCATCAACATCTGATGCTTTAGGTGGGAAAAAGAAAACATTTGTTTTTTTAGCTCACACTAGATATAGAGAAACACAAATAGAAACGAAGTTTTACTTGCCTTAGTGGAAGAGGTGATGAAACGGGCTGACTTAGAATCAGATTATCATGTGGTGATAACTGGAAGATTTAAAATAAAGTATTTAAAACATAAAGATGAACTTTAAAGCACCACTTTCTGGTTAAAAAACATATAGAATAATGATATAAAATTTCACTCCACTCATTTAGCATGACAAGGAATATTTTACATCACTTACTAAGGATCTTAACCACTCACCCCTTCCAAACAACCACTAATTCTTACTTTAAATCCTCTCTATTTCTGTCCTCAATATTTCCCTGCTACCATTTTAATGAATCTGCACTGAAAGAATAAATTATTCACTTACTACCATAAAACCAGATCAGCAAACCTATGGCTTACAGGGCAAATTCACAGGGTGCCTTTTTTTGTAAACAAAGTTTTACTGGAACACAGGCACGCTCATGCCTTCCACATTAACTAGCGGCTCTTGTGCTGTAACAGCAAGGCTGAAAAGCTGCAACAGAAACTGGATGCACTACAAGACTAAAATACTAGTATGTCGTATATAGGTCCATAATAGAGGTTTATCAACTACTATTGTTTTGCGTATTCAAATTCAATATGTTATATATAATTCTGGCACTAAATACCAAGAAATTACATGGGACTAGCATGTGGATATGCAGATTGATTATAAAGCTTATCAAAATGATAAACATCTAGATATTTTATCAGTATCCATAAAATATTGCAACTACTTTTATTCACATTTCATTTACTGATAAACACAGTAATGCACACACAGTGATAATATATGATAATCTTTTCTTTTATATAAATCACTTCAGGGGATAGCACTTTGTTGTAGCATGTAAAAGCTGCTGCCTGTGATACCAGTGTCCCATATGGCCGTCAGTTTGAATCTCGGCTGCTAAACTTCCAATCCAGTTCCCTGCTAACGGCCTGGAAAAATCAGCAGAAGATGGCCCAAGTGTTTAGGCCCCTGCACCCACACAGGGGTCTTGGAAAAAGCTCCTGGCTTTGGCCTAGCCCAGCCCTAGTTGTTGCAGACATTTGGAAAGTGAATCAGAGGATGGAAGATCTCTCTCTGTCTCTCCCTTTGTCTCTAATTTTGCCTTTCAAATAAATAAATCTCAAAAAAACCCAAAACTTCAAAATGATCAAATAAGCAAACAACTTACCTATCAAGATTACATACAAAAACAAAATAAAAACAGTAAGAGGAAAGATATATTCAATTGGGGAAATAAATGGGTAAAATTATTTATATTCATTTTAGACTTCTCCTTCACATCAAAGATATATGGCATTCCTTTCCTCTTGCAATATGTGCAAACATACAACTTTTCCTTCTATCTATTCTAAAACATTTGACTTAAATGATTGCCAAAGGCATAAACTTTCAAATACCTGGAACAAATTTAGAGAAGAAAAGCCCCTTTCTTCGTGTTAAAAATGCTGACTTCCATCTACTTTAACTCTGCATCCTTTTCTCTAAGGGAAAACAGCTATCTGGCAGACAGCTAATAAAACACTAAGGTCCCAAACTTCAATATCAAAGAGCATCTGGTTCTCTTTAGATTTCACTTGATTTTTCCCCTGTTAAAACTGTTATTCTTATGTTACATCTTGACAGCCAATAATAATCCACAGAGCCCTCATTTCAAGGAAATCTTACCTGAACTAAAATCCGTGGTCTCTGAGGAGATGGAAAAGGAACTTTATGCATAAAATGAGAAATATGCCTTAAAAACAAAGGAAAACCCAATTGATTCCAAAGTGAATACCATAAGCTACTGAGGTTAACACAGCATCACAAGGTCAAGCTGAGTTAAAAGTCCTGTACACTTATAATTGTAAAATCCTATACTATGAAAACCAGAGAGCAACTGACAACCAAAAATCATTTGTCCAATTAAAACCCTTTACAATAGTTACTCACATTCAAAAATATCTGTTAACGAATGTCTCAAAGGTCATTTTAACTTTTACCTCTCCCAGTGTAGGTAATTTACAACACATCAGTGATGTGGTTATCACCAAAGAAGCTAATTCTTACATCTTAAATAAACTTTCATAGTCAATTATTTATATTTTGGAAGCAAAACAACCAAAATTAAAGAGTTTAATTATTTCTAAAAGATGAAAAATATACCTTATAACAGTAAGTTACAAATTCTATTACTGACTTTAAAGGTTTTTACCCAGAATAAAATAGATAGAAAGCTAGATCAATGGTTTTACTTTGCATACTGCAAAACAGAAAAAAAGGCAACCACAGTAAAAAATTCTTTTTATTCTTTAAGGAACAACATTGTCTATTTCTGCTTTATTTTTCTTTTGAATATTATCTTAAAATCCTCTTGGTTTTAGAACTGAGATAATTTCAACTAGATAGAAAAACATACTAATTGTGCAAACATGTTTTGACTATTTACTAAGTATAATACATTGCCAGATATGACAAGGAGTGTAAACTAGGCATAAAGCTATTAGTCTCCACCATTAAGGCACTCACAAACCAAAAACAAACAAACAAACAAACAAAAACCAAATGAGCAGCATAGAACACACAGCTGCTTCAATTATCTAAAGTAGTTAGAAGAGAAGAAATCCACGTGAGTCACAAACTGCTAAAGATCTCCCAGGTCCATTCAGGGAGGACCTGAAAGGTCAAAACTATCTTTATGTTAATACTAAAACATCATCTGCTTTTTCCACTGTGTTGAAATTTGCAATGATGGTGCAAAAGCATTGTGGGTAAAATGGTAAGGCATCTCAGGGTGAATCAAGGCAGTGGCAACTGTACTATGGTTGTTCATTATTATACACTCAGTAAAATAATGTCTATTTTCCTTAAAAAGTCTTTGATCAGATAATAAGTATCATTTATTAGTATATCAATGAAGTACATGAAGTAGATTTTGGTAAAGCACTGTTGAAACTGAGTTACAAGTGAATTAGCTACTTCTTTTTTCACAGAATGCCATTTTTGCTTAAAAGACAACTACCAAAAAATAGTTATCCAGTGCTGGCTATTCAGCAGATATTTTCTATATGAAAATAAACAGGACAAGGAAAACTACTGGAGGCATTTGTTGCTGATAATTAAACTCAAACTTTTTAATAAAAAGTGGAATTCTGCCACCATGTGCTTGACAGCTTCCCAATACTCAAAAACTTTTCTGATGAGAAGGGGATGATATCAACAAACGTGACTTTTTCAATATTAATAACAAAGTCTGTTTACATGTGGAAAATTTGCTTATAGTTACCAAAAGACCAATGCACAGTGCTACAAAATCATGCATGAGCAAAATTAATGAAACAGAGAAAGTTCATTGTTAAGGTTTCAGATTTCACATTGCAATTACCCACTTGTCAAGCTTTGGTGCAGTGCCAAAAAAGAAAAAAAAAAATCCGTAATTTTCTGGAAAGACATTCAAATGCTCCTCCCTTTTCCACCTACACATCTGTTTGAGGCCAGTTTTTGTTTACATACTTCAACCAAAACAACTAGTGCAATAGACTGAATGCAGATCTGTATATGAGAACCCAGCTGTGTTCGATTAAGCCAGCCATTAGAGATTTACAAAAATGTTAAAACAATGCAACTCTTCTCATTAATTGATTTTTATTTTGGAAAACAGTTATTTTCCAAAATGATATTTATGTGAAGATGTAACAGGATTATTATTTTGTCAATTAATAAACATTAAAAAATTTTTGTTTTAATTTCTATTACAGTAAACATGGATAGATAAAACAGACAAAAGTTCTTCAGGGTCCCCAATTTTTTAAGACTATAAAGGAATCTTTGGGCAAAAAACAACTTGAGAACTATTGATTTAGAATTTGGATGTGAGAGTAGAAAAGGTAAGGAAAAATCAAAGAATAAAATGGAGTACCGAGTGGTCTCATGATATCACCTCTCCAACAATTTTAGAGTTAAGAAGATTCTTCCAAAGTACACAAAAGAGCTTAAATGATAGATAAACAATAGTCGGACAATGGAGATATTTATATCTCATTTGTGTTATGTCTTATTGCAGAAAACATTCTTTTTTAGTGACTTTAAAGTATATCACTAAAATTAAAATTAAAAAAGGAAAAAAATATTACCTAATTTGTCTTTTACATTAATATTCAAAAATAGTGAGGGAAAATTTTAAAGGTTCATAACAAACCTAAATTTTATGTAAAAAAGAAATACAAAATTACTAGAAAAAGTTCCAATGTCTCCAGATAAAGATCTCTAAACTTCACAAGGAATTTTTTAAAAATTTAAATAATTAACTTAAAAATAAATGAAACACTGAATTTTCTGAGAAAATTATTTGCAATAACAAGACTATAAATGGAGAAATATTACCTGAATGAAATAATCAAATCCTTTTTTTTCCAAATAACTCTGAAGGAATTTAGTTTCCATATGAAGTTTACTCAATTACCAGTACAAATATACCACACAGTGGAAATGTTTGCCAAATTTTAAGCTAAAAGACGTCTAACTTACTTCTCAATTGGAAGAACATGAGGTCCAGAGATGGAGTAACGGTACAGAAAAGTCAGAAACTTCCTGAATGCATCAAAAAAAGGCCAATGAGAAAGAAGACAGATGCATTTGTTAGTGTGAATTGTTTTGGAACTATCAGATTTCCCATCTGCCAATGATGCTAAACCTAAAAGAAGTCTCTGTTTTTCTGTGAGATTCTCCTCAGGATATGGTTCATAAAACTGAATAGCAGCACCATAGACCTGCAAAACAAGCAATTTATTGAATAAATACACTTTGTTCAATTTGTTCCAATCACATCATCAGTTAAATCTATGCTTACTATGAGCCAACAGAGGTACCAGACACTAGGAACATATTGGTAATCAGTTATCTCTCTTGCTTTCTTGATAGTGTCATATCTATACAGTGCTTTCTTCTACATAGTGCTATTCTCATACATCTTTATTATTAAATACCTCATGTGTCTTTCTTAATGAAAAAAGGTGCTTAATTAAATTGTATGTTTAAAATAACAAAAGCAATTGTCTCATTATTCTTCATAAGAAAATGGTTAAAAATAATTATTTAGTAGAAAGTGGGCAGAATTTTAGATAATAAAATATAAATTCCAACTTTGGTTCTCAATTTCCTTATATTATGGTATGAGGATGTGAGACTACATGATTTCCAAGGTCCTTTCCAACTATAACAGTTTATTATTCTAAACTGCATTATATATTATATAATCTCTTTCGTATTACTTTAAAAACTTCATTATATAAAACGAACCTATGAAGGATCATCATTTGATGATGAAAAAATCTTTTATGATATTCAAAAATAAAGTATTTAAGAGGATGGAACAGACTGAACATTCTTTTAATAGAAAACTTTTATCTAATAAATACAATTTTTGAAAGTACAACTTCTGGATTATAGCAGTTTTTCCCCCCATAATCACCCTCCCATCTGCAAACCATCCCATCTCCTACTCCCTCTCCCATCCCATTCTTCATTTAGATTCATTTTTAACTAGCTCTATATACAGAAGATCAACTCTATACTAGGTAAAGATTTCAACAGTTTGCACCCACACAGACACACAAAGTATAAACTACTGTTTGAAGATTAGTTTTACCGTTAATTCTCATAGTACAACACATTAAGGACAGAGGTCCTACATGGGGAGCAAGTGCACAGTGACTCCTGTTGTTGATTTAATAATTGACGCTGTTATTTATGACGTTAGTAATCAACCAAGGCTCTTGTCATGAGCTGCCAAGGCTATGGAAGCCTCTTGAGTTCACAGACTCCAACCTTATTTAGACAAGGCCATAATCCTAAGTGAAGTTCTCTCCTCCCTTCAGAGAAAGTTACCTCCTTCTTTGATAGTCCCTTCTTTCCACCAGGATCTCACCCACAGAGACCTTTCATTTAGGTCATTTGTTGCCACAATATCTTGGTTTTCCATGCCTGAGATACTCTCATGGGCTTTTTTGCCAGATCTGAATGCCTTAAGGGCTGATTCTGAGGCCAGAATGCTGTTTAGGGCATTTGTCATTCTATGAGTCTGCTGTGTGGCCTATGTCCCATGTTGGATCATTCCCTCCATTTGAATTCTATCAATTATTATTAGCAGACACTAGTCTTATTTATGTGATCCCTTTGACACTTAATCCTATCTTTCTGATCAGTTATGAACTTAAACCGATCCTTTTAACTAGTAAGATGGCATTGGTACCTGCCAACTTAATGGGATCTAGAGTCCCATGGCAAGTTTTTAGCTTTACTCTTAGGGGTAAGTCCGAGGGAGTGTGTGCCAAACTGTACATCTCCTCCCTCTCTTATTCCCACTCTTATTTTTAACAGGGATCAATTTTCAGTTGGATTTAAACACCTAAGAATAATTCTTTGTTAATTAAAGATGAACATTCTTTTTTTTTCTATGTCTTTGGACACACCTTACTTAACCAAGTGGAAGAATTATGTAGAATGGATTTAACTTAACCAGTTAGTTTTTCTACTATTCCTTCCATTATACAAAATATTAGACTTCACAATGTACAGGAAACCCACAGATACTATTTGTTAAAATATATAATACCTTTTCAGCTGAGGCTCCAGTTAACACAAAGGTAGAAAATACAGGAAGAGGGTACTTGCTATTTGGTGGCCAACATTCAATTGTTGCACCCATTGGTAAACAAAATAGGGGAACAGACTCTGGTAATGAAAAGGACTCATAATCTTCTTGAGGATATCTACAAATCAGACCTATAAAATATCAAAAAAATTAGGCCATTACTTCTTGAGTTATGTGTTCATGATTTGAATGACAACAAAATGCATTATCATTTCACATATCTGGAAGGCTAAAACATTAAATACATGTTCATCAAGTAACTCTCAATGCGTTAGCAGGATTCAGATAGACATCAGTTCTCAAATATTAAAACTAAGTAACATTAGGGGCCGGCACTGTGGCATAGTGGGTAAAGCTGTCTCCTACAGTGCCAGGATGCAATATGTGCGCCGGTTCAAGTCCTGGCTGTTCCACTTCTGTTCCAGCTCCCTGCTAATGTGCCTGGGAAAGCAGAAGAAGATGGTCCAAGTCCTTGGGCCCCTGTACCCACGTGGGAGACCCAGAAGCTCCTGGCTCCTGGCTTTGGATCAGCCCAGTTCTGGCCATTGTGACCATTTGGGGAGTGAACCAGCAGATGGAAGATAGATCTCTCTCTCTCTGCCTCTCTAACAAATAAATAAAATTTTAAAAAGCACCCTAATTAACATTTTAACTAACTACTTAATATTTATCAGGCTTCATCCACAAAGACTACGTTAAGGCTAACAAGAAAAAGAATCTTATAGAAACATACATACATTTCTAAAAATTCAGTTTAGTCATATTACCTAACAGCACATTAATTTTTTAAAATTTTCAATATCCTTATTTGCATATGTCCACTTCATTAGTTCTCAATAATTCTCCCTCAGGAGACATTTACACATTCCATGGAACATGCATTTATATGAAATTATATATATACACATATATATAACTTCTAGCACAAACACAAGAAAATTATTCATAAAAACAGAAGAGTCATACTTTTACGTGATATTTACAATCTTTTCAGAACAGAACCAATTAAAGCTTAGTTTATAAATAACCCTAGAGTACATGAAGCTAGAGTTTCAAATGTCCTATATTTCATATTAGGTAGACTAGTCTGGAAAGCATTTTGTGGAACTTGAAACAAAAAATAAGTTCCTTGACCTTGAAACCCTTAAAATAAAGTAGAAGTCATCACTAGACATCGCCACAAAAGCAAAATCATAAAATGTGAATAAGAATGTTTGGTTCTGCCACTAATATCTCTATGATTATGGACAAATTGCATACTGATGAAACTGTTTTTCTCATCTATAAAGTAAGATTAACTACTTAAACTAAGGTTCAAGGCATTTCTAAAATTTTCTAATTATATGCTATCCAGACAGTAGGTCCATGAGGATCTATAGTTATCTCTGTACTGCCATCTCAAGTCATGAAGTAACAGTAAAGTTGGAAAGTACAAAAACAGTGATGAACTGTAGTTCCTAGAAAATCAACGTAAAAGAAAATCTTGAGTCTAATTTTTTTTTTATTTGACAGAGTTAGATAGTGAGACAGAGAGACAGAAAGGTCTTCCTTCCGCTGGTTCACCCCCAAAATGGCTGCTACAGCTGGTGCTACGCTGATCCGAAGCCAGGAGCCAGGTGCCCCCTCCTTGTCTCCTATGTGGGTGCAGGGGCCCAAGCACTTGGGCCATCCTCCAGTGCCCTCCCGGGCCACAGCAGAGAGCTGGACTGGAAGAGGAGCAGCTGGGACTAGAACCCGGCGCCCATATGGGATGCCGGCGCCGCAAGGCAGAGAATTAATCAAGTGAGCTATGGTGCTGGCTCCTTGAGTCTAATTTTTAAAATGTACATTTAAAAAGGCTAAATCTTCTCTCTTGTAAATATGACAGTATTTTTCACATTTTGAGAGTCTCTGAAAACTGAACACTTCATTCTAGATGGCAAACTATTTTATAAGTTGTCAGTTATGAAATAAAATTACATATGAACTAGAAATATGACTAAATTTAATAAAATACCACAGAAACATTAATTTCAGGAAATCAATATCTTTTCTTTCAAATTTACTAATCTAAAAACTTTGAAAGATATGGTACCTAGTTATTTATTTAAACTTAAAAGTTTTAAAAATCCACCTTCTGTTCAAATAAATCTTCCATTAAGCATTCAAAACATATGGATTAACTCAAAACTGAAAATTGAAAGACATGGGTTGCAGCATCAGTCCTGAAACTGCCACATCATAGGTAGGTTGTTTCTTTAACCTAACTGTTCTCCATAAAACACAATGCATGAACAATTATACTTACCAGCTTTGTAAGACACAGTGTTTGTCTTTGCCACCGATTTCTTATAACACAAGTACACTGCTGATCCCCACTGAATTAAGATAGAAAAAGAAAGACATATTTAATTTTAGGTAGCAATCTGATAAAACAGAATCTCTATGATCTCTCCAGTACACATTATCTAATATGTAGGAAAGAAGTTCTGTTTTTAAAATATTTATATTATTTAATTAATTTATTTTTAAGACAGAGAGGCAATGAGAGTTCTCTCAGCTACTGTTTGGTTTACTCCTCAAATGCCCATGATAGCCAGGGTTGGAACGGGCCAAAGCTAGGAGTCAGGAACTTAATCTGGGTTTCTCATGTGGGTGGCAAGAACTCAAGTACTTGGGCTACCACCTGCTGCCTCCACAGTGTGCATCAGCAGGAAGCTGGAACTGGGAACAGAAAAAGGACTTGAATCCAGGTACTCCAATATGGGGTGCAGGTGTCCCACGCAGCATCTTAACTGTTGTGCCAAATACTCACCCACGCCTGATAACTATTTTCAATTGGTTATTTTGTCAGCATTTTACTGGAGTCATTACCCACTTTTCCTTCAGAAAAAAAATTAAATTTAACATTTTCCCCTTGCAACAGCAGTAATAAGGAAAAATTAAGCTGCCACAACAACTTTGATTTTTTCCTAAGTCTAAACTTTGGACAATACTCATAAAATAAACAGGCACTTATGAGTATATCTTATTTTTTTAAAGATTTATGTATTTATTTGAAAGGCAGAGCTACAGAGAGGAGAGGCAGAGAAGTAGGGGGGGGAGGGGGGGAGAGGGGGGGGAGGGGGGGAAGGCCACAGCAGAAAGCTGGATATGGAATGGTTTCAGGAGAGAATGAGAAGGAAATGGATATAGCAAATTACAACTCTTGGAAAGTTTTGATAAAAGGAGTTGAGAAAAATCAGTAATTGAATGGATTGTGGAATCAAAAGAAGCTATGCTTGGGGCTAGCACGTGGCGTAGCTGGTAAAGCTGCCGCCTGCAGTGCTGGCATCCCAGATGGGCACTGGTTCAAGTCCTGGCTGCTCTACTTCCAATCTAGCTTTCTGCTGTGGCACTGAGGAGTCTCACATTTCTAGGATCAGCTACAAAAACCATCATCATCACCAAATCTAGACTCGAGTCCAGCTGCCTATTTGACACCTGTACTTCTATGTTTAACAGCATCTGACATTTACCATGACCTTGTCCTATCAAACATGCTCTTCCACCCAGTGTCTTCCACCCCAAAAATGGCGCTACATTTACTACTACATTACTACTACTACTACTTCTGACAGAATTATCATTTTCCACTTTTACTGCTGTAGCCTTCTAATCAATCTCTCAGCTTTCTGTCTTATTTCTCAACAGTCCACTCTCCATAGCCAAAGTGAGCCTATTAGGATGAAATTAAATAATGTCATTCTCAAATGACTTTGTATCAAATTAAGAACAACATCCAAACTCCTTACTCCAGGTCACAGAGTCCTTATAAATCTGATAGCTGCAGCCCGTGGTCATGTCTCCAACCTCACTGGTCTCTCTGCCTCTCCTCAAACACACCAAGTATACATGGAAAGTGAGGCCTTCACACTTTATTACCTGTGCCCATTTTATTTGGGTCTGTGCTCAAATGTCACCTCATGAGAGGCTGTACTAAGTGTCCTGACCAAAACAGCACCCTCATCACCCTAACCTCTTTATTCTTCAGATAACTTGTTACTTCCTATAATTATATGCTATATTGGTTATCTGTCTTCCCCACTTGAATATAAACTCAGTGAGGCCACAGACTCTTCACCATGGGGCCGGCGCTGTGGCTCACTTGGTTGGTCCTCTGCCTGCGGCGCCGGCATCCCATATGGGTGCCGGGTTCTGGTCCTGGTTGCTCCTCTTCCAGTCCAGCTCTCTGCTGTGGCCTGGGAGGGCACTGGAGGATGGCCCAGGTGCTTGGGCCCTGCGCCCACATGTGAGACCAGGGGGAGGCACCTGGCTTTGGATCAGCGCAGTGCACCTGCCATGGTGGCCATTTGGGGGGGTGGACCAACGGAAGGAAGACCTTTCTCTCTGTCTCTCTCTCTCTCTCTCACTAACTTTGTCAAAATTAAAAAAAAAAAAAAAAAGACTTCACCAATATACTTCCAGTGGCTTACACACAGTAGGATTTCAATGAGCATCACTAAATAAATAAAAATTGATTTAAGTTTTTGAAATAGAAGTAAAATAATTAGCTCTATGAAAGACTGTTCAGATGCAAATAAAAATACAATGTCACTGAAAATCCACTACTACTACCACAGATTTTAACAATTTCCCAGTTTCCTTACTTCCATCCTTCCTTCCCACTACAATCTATTACTAGTTATCCTTTAAAAACAAATGTCAAGGGGCTGGCACTGTGGCATAGTGAGTAAAGCCACTGCCTGTGGTGCTGACATCGTTGAATCTATCACACTGCCGATGCAGCTGGGAGAGTAACAGAAGATGGTACAAGTACTTGGGCCCCTGTACCCACATGGAGAGACCTGGAGGAAGCTGGCTCTTGGCTTCAGATGGGTCCAGCTCCTGCTGCTGCAGCCATTTAGAGAGTGAACCAGCGGATGAAAGATCTGTCTCTCCCTCTTTCTCTATATATAACTCTGCCTTTCAAATAAATAAATAAATCTTAAAAAAAAAAAATGGTCAGAGCACATCACTCCTCTGTTCAAACTCCAATCTTACTTAGAATAAAAGTCAAAGTCCTACTTAAAGGCTCTATATAATTTGCCTTCTAGTTTCAATCCCACCATCCTTATTATTCCCTAAACAAGTTAGGAATGTTTCCTCCACAATACCCTTCCAGACGGTTTCTTCAATTTAAAGCATTTTTGGGGGACGGCCATTGTGATGCAGGGGATTAAGCCATCATTTGGGATGTCTATATCTGCTCTTTGGATCAAGCTTCCTACTGGTGTGCGTGGAAGACAGCAGATGATGGCCCAAGTACTAGGGTTCCTATCACTCATGTCGGAGACTGGGATGGAGTTCCAAGCTACTGGCTTTGGCCAGGTCTACTCCCAGCTGTTGTGGGCATTTAGGGAGTGGAACAACAGATGGAGGAGATACTCTTGGCTCTCTCTCTTCCTCTCACTCTGTCACTCAGCCTTTGAAACAAACACACACACACACCCCCACACCCACAACATTCTCAGCCAGTGATATCTGAATGGTTAACTCCCTGTTTTCTTTCTTCTTCTTCTTTTTTGGATTTATTTACTTTTACTTGAGAGGTAGAGTTACAGACAGAGAGAGGGAGAGACAGAGGGAAGGGCCTTCCATCCACTGGTTCACTCCCCAAATGGCTCCAATGGCCAGACATCCATCATGGTTCTTGGAACACATCTGCCACAGATAATGGGAGACTACTATCAACCTCCACAATAGTCAAAGAAATACAAACTAAACTCAGAATCATTTCCTATTGGTCAATAATTAAAAAGCCAATAACATAAGCAACCAACGTTGGTTACATGTAGAATCTGGGAAAAAGACACTCTGGCTTCTGGGAATATACATTGCCACTAACTTTTCACAGCAATCTGTCAACTTTTTTTTTTTTTTCAAATCAATAGATCTTTTGTTTCAATATTAAAATACCACAAGACACAATCTAGGTTCCTGTTTCTGTAGCCAGACAACTTTTAGGTCTTATTCATCAGCCTGCCGAACTGTTCCTTTTTCAGAGACATAGATACCATCCAAAAATTTTCTGATATCCTGATTTTTAACTGTTGTTGCCTGCTGAATCAAAGCAGCAGAATTGAAACAAGTTCAATATCACTTCCTTCAACGACTAATTCACCTTTCTGGGCTTGAGACACACTGAACAGGCAACTCCTGGCCTCATCTGAACCCTTCAGATGTACTTTTCATTGAAGAAATTTTGGATTTCAACAAGAGACCCATTCTCTTGAATAACCACATTGATGGGGAAGTGAGCATACACAGACCTCATCTTGTAACGGAAACCCAGTGTGACCCCCCTTGATCATATTCTGTAAATGACTGCAGATGGTGCGAACAGCTGCCAGTTCTTTTCTATTTCCCCACCATTTGTCAACCTGGAGCCTCTTCTTTTTCTTTCCCAGGAGGCTGAGTTCTACACTGATGTGACTGAAATCCCTCTGCAGGGTTCCTCTGGGCCCCTTCATAATTACTATGTGCCCCTTCAGACTAATGTCGACGTTTTCTGGAATGTTGAGTCTAATTGCTGAAAACGGTCTTCATTCTCGCAGTAGGTGTGGCAAGAAGAGTAAACACTTTTCAAAATATACAACATATTCATGGACCCATCAATTTATCTTTCTTTTATTTTTAAAGATTTATTTTATTTGAAAGTCAAAGTTAAGAAAGAGAGCAATCTTCTAACTGCTGGTTCACTTCCCAAATGGCCACAATGGCCAGGTACTAGAGCCGTTACCTGTTGCCTCCCAGGGTCTGCATCATTAGGAAGATAAAATCGGGACTCAAATCAGGCCTTTTTATGGGATGTGGGTGTCCCATCCACATCTTCACCACTACACCAAATACCTCTTCCTAGATTTACAATTTAAACCACCTTCCCATCTCTCAATATTTTTGAAAGTACATAATGGCTTTTATTTTTATTTTTTTGACAGGCAGAGTGGACAGTGAGAGAGAGAGAGAGAGAAAGGTCTTCCTTTTTTCCGTTGGTTCACCTCCCAATGGCCGCTGTGGCCAGCGCACTGCGCTGATCCACAGCCAGGAGCCAGGTGCTTCTCCTGGTCTCCCATGCGGGTGCAGGGCCCAAGCACTTGGGCCATCCCCCACTGCCTTCCCGGGCCACAGCAGAGAGCTGGCCTGGAAGAGGGGCAACTGGGACAGAATCTGGCACCCTGACCGCAGGGGAGAATTAGCCTATTGAGCCACGTGCATAATGGCTTTTAAAATCCAAAAGAATGAGGAAAGAAGAAAGACAAAAGATGATAATTATAGATAATCCATGGCTTTAAGGCTACTGGAAGGGCTTTGGTTTTACTGTGAGATGGGAAGTCATTCAGAATCTTAAGCAAAGGAATGATATGATCTGATTTATATTTTAAAAGAAAAAATATGGAATCAAGAAGTTTTGTAAAGGTGGAGATCTTGCAACATGCTTTGCATTTGCTTTGGAGGAAATAATATGATGGAGCAGAAACACTGAGGATTCACAATAAAAGCTGGAAGAACCAAAGTCGCGTCTTTAAAGCTAGGCTTTACGTAGAGGATCTGGTATACAAATGGAAGGGAAGACACAGTTACTATTTTGCTCTTGCAATAGGGGAAAAAATTATTTTTTTAATTAAAAGAAAAAAAGGTTTTAGCACAGTACAAAGGTTTTAGCACAGTACAGTTGAAAGTACAACTAAATGACTTTCTAAAAAATAAAATATCCAATATCTTTAGTTAATTCTGTAAATACAGTGTTTTCACAAAAAGATGCATTTAAAATCACTCTTTTCAACAGTAGTTAATTTTATCAGCACAAGAGTCACTTACCATGCTGTTATTGAGATTCTTGTCGACTCTGCAGAATGTATGCGGCGGACTTTCTCCTTTACTGGGTATTATGATACATATGTCTGTGACAGCCAGTGCATTTTGAGGCATGTTTTCAGAGGCTCTTCGGTAAGTGATGTAAATTCTTTGTGATGAGGTACTGCCACTAATATTTGCAGGGCGCCCATAGGGAGTATTTTGAATAATTTCACAGCCCTGTTTCAATCTTTCTTTCCAGTCATATAACACCCTAAAAAATAAATTTGAAGAATATACAAATACACAAAGCACTCACATGTGAAAAGTAATATTCTCAGGCATCGTGAACTAATCCTTAAATGTAGCCATGTGATAAAAATATTTCCTATTACAATCATGCAATTGCATGCTATTACAAGCACAGTTCATAAAAATTAAAGAATTTGTTTTTTTCATGTAAAATTTAAACAATGTAAGGAGAAATTTAGATAAAACTTTGTGTTTGTTAATATAAACCAGAGAAATCCAAGAATACTTGTTTAAGCATTCTTTTACTACATCTTTCTTTCTCTCTCAAATCAAGCACCTTCTTTAGAAAAGGTAATTTGCATTTCTGCCAAAGTTAAAATTTTATAAAAGAGAGGCCAGCAATGTGGTGTATCAGGTAAAGCCACCACCTGTGATGCCAAAACATCCCATAAGGGTGTGCCGGTTTGTATACTGGCTGCTCCACTTCCAATCCAACTCCCTACTAATGGCCTGGGAGAAGCAGCAGAAAGTACTTTTCCCATGCCACCCATGTAGGAGACCTGGAAGAAGCTCCTGGCTTCAGATTGGCCCAGCTCTGACCTTGGTGGCTATTTGAGGTATGAACTAGCAGATGGAAGATCTCAGTCTCTCTCCTTCTCTCTCCATACTGCTACCTTTAAATACATAAATAAATCTTTTTTTAAAAAAAGTCTTCTAAATATTATACTTAAAAGTACCTGGGGATGTCAAGAGAATATTCTGCTTGAATAATATCACATTATTCCCTCACAAAAGTGATTTGTACTTTGTTAAGTCCTAAGCATTAGTCAAAAAGCAAGTTTAAAGCTCTACTGTAATAAATGTGTTCTGAATTTGCTACAAAAGTTGTTATAATAGGCAATGTCTTCAACATCTATCTATTCTCTTATTTACTGGAATGGGCATTTGGCACAGAGCTTAAGACTCACGTATCCTATGTCAAAGCGCCTGGTTTCGAGTCAGGGCTTTCCTCCTGAATCTGGCTTCCTGCTAATGCACACCCTGTGAGGCAGCAGGCAATGGCTCACTTACTTGAATCTCTATCACCCACACAGGAAACCTGGACCGAGCCTCAAGCTCCTGCCTTTGGCCTGGCCCAGCCCTGGCTGCTTTAGGCATTTAGGAAGTCAACTAGCAGATGAGGGATCTCTCTCAGTCTCTTGTTCTATCTCTCTTTCAAATAAAATTATTAAAAAACAAATCAAAATTCCCTTACCAAAAATCCCATCATACAAATAAAGTTTAGTATCAGGAATTGTTCTAATTTCTTTTTTTTTTTAAGATTTATTTATTAACCTGAAATGCTGTTGGAGAGAAAGAGAGAAAGAGAGAGAGAAAGAGAGAAAAAGAGAGAGAGAGAGAGAGAGAGAGAGAGAGAGAGAGAGAGAATCTTCCATCTACTGGTTCAATCCCTAAATGGCTGTAATAGCCAGAGCTGAGCCAGGATCTCTCAAGTAGATGGCTGAGGCTGGGCCAGGCCTAAGACAGGAGCTTCCTCCGGGTCTCCCACACAGGTGCAGGGGCCCAGGAAGCTGGGATATCTCCTGCTGCTTTCCCAGGTGCATTAGCAGGGAGCTGGAGCAGAAGCAGATCAGCTGGGACTGGAATCAGTGCTCATACAGGCTTTAGCCTGCTGTGCCACAGTGCCAGCCCCCTGTTCTAATTTCTAATATAATTTTTAAAATTTTATTTGAGAGACAGTGATAGAAACAGAGACACAGAGAGAGCACCCCCATATTTGCTGGTTCATTACCCAAATACCTGCAACAGCAAGGGCTGGCTCATGCTGAAGCCAGGAGCAAGGAGCCAGGAACTCAATCCAGGTCTCCACGTAAAAGGCAGGGACCCAACCATTTGAGCCATCACCTGCTTCCACCCAGGTTGCACATTGGCAGGAAGTTAAGAATCAGGAGCACAGTTGAGACTCAAACCCAGGTCCTTTGATACAGGATGCAGATGTCCCAAGCAGTATTTTAAAGATTTATTTATTTATTTGAAAGTCAGAGTTACACACAGAGAGAGGAGAGGCAGAGAGGCAGAGAGGCAGAGAGAGAGAGAGAGAGGTCTTCCATCAATGGTTCACTCCCCAGTTGGCCACAATGGCCAGAGCTGCGCTGATCCGAAGCCAGGACCCAGGAGCTTCTTCCGGGTCTCCCATGCAGGTACAAGGGCCCAAGGACTTGGGCCATCTTCTACTGCTTTCCCAGTCATAGCAGAGAGCTGGATAGGAAGTGGAGCAGCTGGGTCTCAAACCAGCATCCATATGGGATGCTGGCGCTTCAGGACAAGGTGTTAACCTGCTGCACCACAGCGCCGGCCCTCAAGCAGTATTTTTTCTTTTTTTTTTTTTTTTTTTTTGACAGGCAGAGTGGACAGTGAGAGAGAGAGACAGAGAGAAAGGTCTTCCTTTGCCATTGGTTCACCCTCCAATGGCCGCCGCGGCCGGCGCGCTGCGGCCAGCGCACCGCGCTGATCCGATGGCAGGAGCCAGGAGCCAGGTGCTTTTCCTGGTCTCCCATGGGGTGCAGGGCCCAAGCACCTGGGCCATCCTCCACTGCACTCCCTGGCCACAGCAGAGGGCTGGCCTGGAAGAGGGGCAACCGGGACAGAATCCGGCGCCCCGACCGGGACTAGAACCCGGTGTGCCGGCGCCGCTAGGCGGAGGATTAGCCTAGTGAGCCGCGGCGCCGGCCCCTCAAGCAGTATTTTAATCACTAAGCCAAACATCTGCCCCTAATATAATATTTCATTTCTATTATTATTCTGGCTGTCAGCAATATTTTAGTTTGGAATTTTTGAGATAAATTTGAAGCTTAATCATAGCAACTGTGCTAGTCCTAATGTTAGTGTAAGTGTTTACTTTAAAAAAAAAAAAAAGATAGCTTGGAGCAGGCATTTGGCTAGAGGTTAAGACACCAGTTAAGATACCCATGTCCCATATTAGAGTACCTAAGTTCCATCCCCAGCTCTGCTCCTGACTCCAGCTTCCTGCTAATGCAAAACCTAGGAGGTATAGGTGAGACCTGGATTGAGTTCCTGGATCTTAGCTTTGGCCCCATCTAAGTAGGGGCCATTGTGAGCATTTGGGAAGTGAACCAAAACTTTTTGTCACTCCCTTTCTCTGCCTCTCAAGTAGATTTTATTTTTAATTGTATACATAAGAAAAGAGCAACTAGCAGCTGGCATTGTGCCATAGCAGGTAAAGCCGCTACCTGCAATGCTAATATCCCATTTGGGTGCTGGTTGTGTCCTGGTTGCTCCACTTCAGATCCAGCTTCCTGCTAATGGCTTGGGAAAAGCAATAGTTGGCTCAAGTGTGTAGTCCCCTACTACTCACATGGGAGACCTGGAAGAAGCTCCTGGCTCCTGGCTTCTGCCTTGGCCAGCCTCAACCATTGAGGCCATCTGTGGAGTGAACCAGAGGATAGAAGATCTCTCTAACTCTAACTCTAACTTTAACTCTAACTCACTCTAACTCTAACTCTAACTCTGATTCAAATAAAGAAACAAAGATCTTAAAAAAAAAAAAAAAGGAGCAACTAAACACAGAGAATGTAGGTGCATCTGAATTCTATGTTCTACTACCTTCTACTAGCTGCATTACTTTAGGCAGTAATTAACCTCTGAGCCATATACTACTGAGCTAGAAAACTCTAAACTTTTCAGCTTCAAAAGACATCATAAAAAATGAAAGACAACTCACATAATGGGAAAAAATATTTGTAAATCATACAATTGATAAGAGTATGAGTATCCAGAATAGGAAGGTAAGTATGAGTATCAAGAATAGGAAAGTATTTCAAAATGTTTGAGGAAAAATGGAGTTAAAAGTTTATTTTGAAGCGGCGCTGCGGCTCACTAGGCTAATCCTCTGCCTGCGCTGCCGGCACTCCGGGTTCTAGTCCTGGTTGGGGCGCCGGATTCTGTCCCGGTTGCTCCTCTTCCAGTCCAGCTTTCTGCTGTCGCCCGGGAGTGCAGTGGGGGATGACCCAAGTCCTTGGGCCCTGCACCTGCATGGGAGACCAGGAGGAAGCACCTGGCTCCTGGCTTTGGATCGGTGCAGCATGCCAGCCACAGCGGCCACTTGGGGGGTGAACCAATGGAAAAAGGATGACCTTTCTGTCTCTCTCTCTCTCTCTTAACTCTGCCTGTCAAAAAAAAAAAGTTTATTTTGGTGTCAAAACTGAAATCCACAGTGTTTTTGTAGTATGCATTTTCCATGAAATATTCTAAAAAATACTTATTTATTTGAAGTGAGAGAGAGAGAGAGAAAGAAAGAGTGAGGGAGAGACAGAGATCTTCCATTCACTGGTTCACTCCCCATGTGGCCACAAGGGCCTGGGCTGGGCCAAGAACCAGAAGTTTTTTCTACCACATGGGTAGCAAAGGCCCAAGTACTTGGGCCATCTTCCACTGCTTTTCCCAGGCCGTTAGCAGGAAGGTGGATCAGAAGTGGAGCAGTCAGGACACGACCAGCGCCTATACAGGATGCCGGCATCACAGGCAGCAGTTTTACCTGCTATGCCACATGCCAGCCCCGCCATGAACTTTTTTAAGTTCATGTATGTAAAGAACTGTTACAATAAAAAGATAACCAAATTAAAAAAATAAAAACAGGTAAAAAGATATGAAGACATTCTCCCAAGACATACAAATTTGACAATAACCATATGAAAAGATGATTAACATCATCAGCCATCAGGTGAATGTATATCAAGGATATCATGGGACACCATTTCATACCTACTAGGCCAGCTATAATCAAAATGACAACAGGAATGCTAGGATGAAGAAAAACTGGAACCCTCATACACTCTTGGTAGGAATGCAAGACTGCAACTGCTTTGGAATACTGTCTAGCAGATGAGTAAAAGGTTAAAACAGAATTATCATACAAATATGACCCTGTAATTCCACACCTATTTATATACACAAAAAGTTTTGTACCACAATAAACTTATACTTTTCCTCCATTTTCTACAATTTTTTGAAGTACCCTTATATGTCTACATAAAAACCTGTATACACAAATACTCACAGTGACATTACTCATAATAGCCAAAAGGTGGAAACATCCAAATATCCATCAGTGATGAATAGATAAATAAATCAGGGCATGTCTGTATGATGGAACAGTATTCAGTCATATGGAGGAATAAAATATAAACACACACCACATCATGGATAAATGCTGAAAATATTACACTAAGTGAAAGAATTCAGTCACAAAACACTTTAAGTAGCATGATTCTATTTACATGAAATGTCTAGAATAGACAAATCCTATTTGGATTTGATGGATGATTGCTGAAGACTGAAGGGGATTTGGGAGGCTACTACTAATGAGGACAAGGTTTCTTCATGGCATCATAAAAATGTCCTAAAATTTACTGTAGTGATGAATGCATAACTGTGAATATACTAAAAAATCACTAAGTATAAACGGGTAAAGAATATGATACATGGGCTATATCTCAATAAAGCAGTTATAGTGTTTAAAAAAGAGCTTTAAATTCAAAATGGTACCCTCAGTAAAGCTGAAATTTACACCAAGATGCTTGTTTGATACAGAGTTAAGCATTCATCCATAATCATTGTAACATTATTAAAGTCATTCTTTTTTCATACTTTAAAAGTAATTCAAAAATATAATTAAAATTTTTCTGAGCGTGGTAATGCATTAATTTTCTGATACTTTCCTGTAAATGATTTTCAAATTCTTTCCCCTGCACTTAACAGAAAGAAATCAAGGCAAGATGAAAGTACTGACAAGCAACAAGACAGGGACAAAAGGAATACAAGAAGAGAAACAAAATTCTGAATATAAATCTATTTTCCTAAAGTTGCTATACGTCTACTAATAAACAAAATGAACAACTAACTTCAAAATCTGCAAAGCATATTATTTGTATCAATAACAATAATATATTTTTAAAAATACTTGGGACAGGCACTTGGCACAGCAGTAAAGATGCTACTCGAGATGCTTGCAACCCATATCTGAATGTGTGAATTTGAATCCTGGCTCCTCGACTTCTGATTCAACTTCCTGCTAATGTACACTCAAGGAGGCAGTGGGTGATGGCTTAAGTCTTGGGTTCCTGCCACTCATGTAGGAAACTTGGATTGAGGTACAGGGTACTGGCTTCAGCCTGGCCCAGCCCTGGCTGTTGCAGACATTTGGAGAGTGAACCACTGGGTGGGAGACCACTATCTGTGTATTTCTCAAATAAAATAAAAATGAAAAGAGAAAAAAAACCAAAACACCACTTACCCCAGATCTGTAAGTGGAGGCTTATCTCTTCCTCTTCTATAGCAAAGGTAAATCTGTGGCCCCACAAGACTTCCATTATTGAGATCAGCTGACAATCCAGTTGGGGTGACATCAATACACATGTAATCCTGTGGCACTTCCTCCCCAAGAGATTTAATAATAACTGAAACATCTGTGATAGGTTCTTTTGGTTTAGCTACTTTATGACAGGCATCATTGAAGTGAATTTCTTCTTCAAGAGGCTTTGAAACATCAGTTAACCCTGCCACAACAAAGTAGTCGGCAACACGAGGCCCTTTGTCTTCAATCATCTTCCATTACAGCAGACTACATCTAAAAGGAAAATAAAAGACTGGTATTCTCCTTTAATAAGCCAAATAACTGTAAGTGGTTGTTAGCCAAGTAAGAACAACAACAACTGTAAGTGTGCTACCTCTCTAGTAAACACAATAGTATTTTAGATTTCATACATAAAAAGCAACACCTTTTTAAAAAATGAGAATATCTAGCATTGTTGCTTTTTTATAGAAGTAATGCATGTATTTCCAATTTTGGCAGCATGGAATCCTAGATTGCTTAAACAGACAATTAAAAAATCCTTTTAAATGCAAAGATTAATTTATAAGAATATAAGGGGAAGTCTCAGGGCCTCGAAACATTGAGGAAATAAAAAGCCAGGACACAGTCTATAAGTCAATACTTGGTGCGAAATTTGCTGATTTCAATAAAGGGGTTTACGTTTTAAAAGGCATTACAGGAAACAAGACCTTGGGACCATCTAAAACACAGAATTAGAATTGAGACACTTAGATAAAGCCAAGAGCTTCAAACGACTAGTCCCTAGTTAAAGAAATTTTCAAAAACCTGTCCACTGTCAGAGAGAGACGATAAGGTTTGCCTCACTCTGAGGCAAAGGTTGGTACTGGTGAAGTGGGGGAAGGTCTCCTCTCAGAATTTGTAACAACAGGGCTACTCACTCCTGGATTTGGGGTTGAGCTTAAGCCATCTCCATGGTACCAAGAAGCTCCAACAGAGAAATTAATAATAAAAGCATTCTCAGGCTAGTGATACCCCTGGGGAAGCAAATGCAAAACAGTTCTAGAGGGCACACATTCAACCCAGGCTTTCCAGAGGTAAAGCCCAGCTGAGGAGAGCTCCCATTCCAAAATTACAAAAATACACTATATGAGTCTCAACAGACACAATGGAAGAATCTCAAATAATAGAAGTAGGGAGAGGATGACAATCATGCATGCTTTATAACAAACTCAAAGGGAGATATGCAAAGTGGAATTTCTGTATTTGCAGACACTTTGATAGTAAAATCCCCTTCAGTTGTTTAGTATCACTGAAACTTCATTTTTTTCATTAACTAAGAGAACATACTCCATAGTATTGTCATTATTTATATACCACTGTTATAAGAAAAAATGTTTAATCTAAAACAGAATTTCCTTGCCTGAGTTTCATCTAAGAGTTTCAACTTAGAATCAGTTCCAATAAATGCAAAGAAAGAGTTTCATGAACAAGTACCTTTTTGAATATTTATAATATATAAATATTAAACCCACAGCAGTCTTTTGATAAAGGTACCAGATAACTTTTATGTTTAACTCAGAATTTCCCAGGCTTATCGGAATAATGACTACTATTTTCCCACTTAACTAAAAAAAAATCCTTAGAACATGTTTTGGGAACTGTTAGCTTAAAGTAAACAACCTTCCCTTACAGACTGTAAAGAAATTCTTATGGACCATTTACTTACCTATAATAGAATTATAATAATTTCATCATAATCCCAAAACTCATTTCATTTTCTATATTGCTAACATCATGAGTTTTCAGAATTCATGCCACATTTCTTGGAATCTATATTCATTGCTCAAACACACTCTGTAAATATTACCATTGTTTGCTTAGAAAACAAGCCTAAAGAAGGATTAAATGTTCCTATTTGTTTTATTCAGTTATATATGGCTCCTCTGAAGCAATTCCCTTACACAAAATATTTCTGCAAGTAATAAAACACTTCAGCTTTTCAGAAATGCCTCTCAGACTGACAACAAAAAAAGGTAATAACCAGTTCTTCTGAGAAGACTATTAAATACTGAGTCACCACTCTTAGCTGCCTACCTATAACATGTGTTCCACAAAAAAACAAAGTCAGTTTTACCTGGTTGGTGATCTATTCATTAAAAAAAGTATTATAATACTTAAAAGAGCAGTTTGCATTTAGCTTTTTTCCCTATTTTATTAATATTTGAAAATAACAGTTTATAGGTTCATTGGTATTTTGATGGATACACCATTGCTGATCTATTTGCTTATTAATCATTTATTACTTCTATTTATTTTGCTAATAATTTTAAATGTTACAATGTATAACCTTGAACATAAACCTTTAGGTATAACAATTATTTCTTCAGGATTAAATCACTGAAGTGGAATTATTAGGTTAAAAGCTACCTCAGTCTTTTTTTTTTTTTTTTTAAGATTTATTTATTTGTCTGAAAGGCAGAATTAGAGAGAGAGAGGCAGAGGCAGAGGCAGGGAATGAGAGAGAGAGAGGTCTTCCATCCACTGGTTCACTCATCAAATGGCTGCAATGGCTGGAGCTGCGCCGATCCAAAGCCAGGAGCCAGGAGCTTCTTCCGAGTCTCCCACGTGGGTGCAGGGGCCCAAGGACTTGGACCATCATCTACTGCTTTCCCAGGCCATAGCAGGGAGCTGGATCAGAAGTGGAGCAGCCGGGACTCAAACCGTCGCCCATATGGGATGCCAGCACTGCAGGCGGAGGCTTTAACTGTTACACCACAGTGCCAGCCCTCAGTCTTTGCAAGTATTTATGTGCTTTAATGTGTGCATGAATTTTAATCTCTTATTAAAAACTAGTCTCAAACATTACTTTGGTAGAACATTTCCTTTCATAATAGAGACAAAAAACATCTTCCTTTTTCCTAGATTCTAACTTCATATTAAATTAAAGAATAGGAGTGTGCATGCAGCTTAGTGCTTAAGACCATGCTTGGGACACCCACATCCTGTATCAAAGTGCCTAGGTTTGAGTCCCATCTCCTTTTTCAATTCCAGCTTCCTGGTTTTTTTTTTAATTAATTAATTTATTTTGACAGAGTTAGACAGTGAGAGAGAGAGACAGACAGAGAGAAAGGTCTTCCTTCTGTTTGTTCACCCCCCAAAGGGCTGCTACAGCTGGCATGCAGCGTGGATCCGAAGCCAGGAGCCAGGCGCTTCCTCCTGGTCTCCCATGCAGGTGCACAGCCCAAGCACTTGGGCCATCCTCCACTGCCCTCCCGGGCCACAGCAGAGAGCTGGACTGGAAGAAGAGCAACTGGGACAGAATCTGGCGCCCCCACCGGGACTAGAACCCAAGGTGCTGGCGCTGTAGGCGGAGGATTAGCCTAGCGAGCCACGGTGGCGCCGCCTCAGCTTCCTGGGAGGCAGTAGGTGATGGCTCAAGCAGTTGTATCCCTATCACCCAAGAGGTAGATCTAGATTGCATTCCTGGCTCATGGCTTCAGCCTGGCCCAGCGCCATCTGTCCCTGTGCTAATGCAGAAAGGGAACCAGCAATGGCAGATTTCTCTGCTCCTTTCAACTAAATCAATCTGATGAGTTAACTAATTTGAACACAGTCACTACTGCATACAGTACAATATTATATCTATGCAATAAGAAAGGACATAGAGGAGAAACAGTGCTATCTTTATAGCATATATATTTAATATTTTTAAAATTAATGCCTTAGATTTTGAAATAAACTGTTAAGCAAATATTGAGGAGAACATTGTTTTAAAAAGTGCTTTTGGGGGCCAGCGTTGTGGCGTAGTGGGTTAAGCTGCCGCCTGCAGTGCCAGCATCCCACATGGGCGCCAGTTTGAGACCTGGCTGCTCTACTTCCAATCCAGCTCTCTGCTATGGTCTGGAAAAGCAGTAGAAGATGGCCCAAGTCCTTGGGCCCCTGCATCCATATGGGAGACCTCGAAGAAGCTCCTGGCTCCTGGCTTCGGATCGGCACAGTTCTGGCTGTTGTGGCCAACTGGGGAGTGAACCAGTGGATGGAAGACTTCTCTCTCTGTCTCTCTCTGTCTCTGTCTCTGTCTCTCTCTGTGTAACTCAGACTTTCAAATAAATAAATCTTTTAAAAAAAAAAGTGCTTTTGATTAGATGTTCCTGGTCTGCAAATTTTAATAAAATTTATTTTTATTTTTATTTTTGACAGGCAGAGTGGACAGTGAGAGAGAGACAGACAGACAGAAAGGTCTTCCTTTTGCCGTTGGTTCACCCTCCAATGGCCGCTGCAGCCGGTGCATTGCGCTGATCCGAAGCCAGGAGCCAGGTGCTTTTCCTGGTCTCCCATGGGGTGCAGGGCCCAAGCACTTGGGCCATCCTCCACTGCACTCCCGGGCCACAGCAGAGAGCTGGCCTGGAAGAGGGGCAACCAGGACAGAATCCGGAGCCCCGACCGGGACTAGAACCTGGTGTGCCGGCGCTGCAAGGCAGAGGATTAGCCTATTGAGCCATGGCGCCAGCCGCAAATTTTAATAATTTTATCTTATGCACAAATGAATACAGTAAATAACTACTGAACTAAAACAAGAAGGTACTGTTCTTTCAAAATAAATATAAGAAAAGAACAATTTTAAAGTGGTGATAGGAGCTGGCACTGTGGCATAGTGGGTAAAGCTGCTGCCTGTGATGCCAACATCCCATATGGGCACCTGTTCGAGTCCCAGCTGCTCTACTTCCAATCCAGCTCCAATCCAATCCTGGGAAGGCAGAGGAAGATGGCCCAAGTCTGCAGACCTCGACACTCATATGGGAATCCTGGAGGAATCTCCTGTCTCCTTGCTTCACATGGGCCCAGCTCTGGCCATTGCAGCCATTTGAGGGGTGAACCAGTAAATGGAGAGTCTCTCTCGCGCACTCTCTCTCTCTCTCACCTTGCCTTTCAGATAAATAAATAAATCTTAAAAAAAAATTAATTAAGCTGGTGATAAAATCCTCTTACATTTATTGACAGGGAAGTTAATTATCATTCTATTTCCCTTGTCTTATTGCTGTTTCCTACTTACTTATTTGGAGCATGGGAAGGTTAAGAAGGTGGGCAAAATATTTTAAGGCACAGATGACAAAGTATATAACTTTCAACATAGCTAGCAACAAAAATCCACCAGAAAGATCTAAGTGCCCGTTAATTCATTCAAGAAGAGCATATACTACTTAAAATGTACTTCTATTTTTAATTTTAAGTCAACTGCTTTTAAAGTGATATCATTAATTTAGAAATTAGAGGGAAGACATTATTAAAAATTACAAGCAAATACTGAAACTACAATTTTTAATAGAGAAATGAATAATCAGTATTTCCTAACAGTTCCATTAAGCCTGGAGGTTTTATTTTGGCATGTGAAATCTGCAATACTGATAAAAAAATAGTAAATGTAAATTAAAACAAAATGCCTTGTGCTGGTAAGAGTCAAGATAATTACTTTGAAAGAGAACTTCAAGAAAGCATTCCTAGTCACATACAAAATGAACTTTTAATGTGGAAATCACAGCAAAAACCTCTGAACAATTAGGTGGTAAATTTCCATAAATTCATTTTTGGAGACTGGGGATCACAAAAAAACATACATCTAATCCAAAAGCTCTCTAAATAATCATAGTAATACAAAATCTTGAAATAGCTTTATTCAAGCTGAAATAACAAATATATAATTAATCAATGATTTTTTTCAATTCTCCTTTGTTCAACATGGATAACAAGTTAGCTCATAAAATAAAATGTTCAAAGTTATTTTAAAATGTCAGATACCTGCATAGCTAGTCTTTCACTTTAAATTACATACATTTTCATTGCAAACAGAAAGCAAAGATGATGTCCTCTCTATTACTGCAAGGTTCAAGAGAACTCAATTTGGAAGTCATTACAAGAAAGCTCTTACCCATTCAGCAACTAATGGAGACTGACTTTTCTCCCTTTCAATCTCCCCAATCAATTAAGATTCTTTTTATTTCTTCTCTCACTCCATTAGGCCAATATATTTAAGCATTCGCTACTGAGGCTCACTCTAAGGATAAGAAAATGCAAGAGGAACAATCAGAGGAAATTTTTTTTTAAATATTTATTTATTTGGAAGTCAGAGTTACAGAGAAAAGAGGGAAAGCCAAAGAGAAAGGTCTTCCATCTGCTGATTCACTCCCCAGATGACTGCACTGTCAGGGCTGGGCTAGGCTGAGGTCAGGAGCCAGGAGCTTCATCCTGGTCTCCTACATGGGTGGCAGGGACCCAAACACTTAGGCCATCTTCCACTGCTTTTCACAGGCCATTAGCAGGGAGCTGGATGGGAAGTATAGAGCTATGCCACAATGCTGGCCCCTAAGAGAAATACTTTAAAAATATATAAAAAACAAAATTTCTGAACATAAAACATTCTGTGTAATTATTAACTATTACTGAGATGGTAGTTAAGCAAAAGCCTTCCAGGCAGGATGTGATAGCCCTTAACTCAGAATTACATATGAAAATGGTCAATAACACAATGGAACAGTTCAGCCTCCTTACCTCAGTTCATTTAAATCAACAGAATAAATTTCCTGCTTTTTCCAAAAATGTAATTCCCCAGTTATTCTAATCTATCTTTTCCTATATTATCAAAACTAGAGACCTTTATTCCTATCTTTTCTAAATTTCATCTTTGATCTTTCTTTCAATCAAGTTATCTAATCTACTGTCCTTCAAACACAATTTTGCCCTTGAGTTGTTTTTTACTTTGTAAAATAATCTTATCTTCTTTAATTTTTTTTTTTTTTTAATTTGAGAGGCAGAGAGAGAGAGAGAGAGAGAGAGATTGAGAGAGATTGAGAGAGAGAAAGCTCCCATCTGCTGGTTTACTCCACAACAGCCAGGAACACCATCCGGGTCTCCACAAGGGTGGCAGGAACCAAGTACCTTAAGCCATCTGCCACTGCCTACCAGAATCTTCATTGGCAGGAAGCTGGTGTCAGGAGGCAAACCTGGGAATCCATCATAGGCACTTCAACAGGAGATGCAGGCATCTTTTTATTTTTTTTTTAAGATTTATTTATTTTTTTTGAAAGGCAGAGTTACAGAGAGTAAGCGAGACCTTCTATCTGTTGGTACACTCTCCAAATGGCCACAATGGCTAGAGCTAGGCAGATCTAAGCTGCTTCCGGGTATTCCGTGTGGGTGCAGGGGCCAAGTACTAGAGCTATCTTCTGTGGCTTTCCCAGGTGCATTAACAGGGAGCTGGATAGGAAGTGGAACAGCCAGGACTCGAACCATATGAGGTGCTGGGGTTGCAGGCAGTAGCTATACCCACTATGCCACAGTGCCGGTTCCATGGGATACAGGTATTTTAACTAGCCTCTTAATTGCTAGTTTAATGCCCACTCCCTACAACTTTATTCTTTTCTACTTTAACTACACATTATTTCCTTTTTCTAATCAAACTCATATTTTTCAAAACAACTTAAATCTATATGGAGATGGGCACATTGGTTAAGACACAGCCTGAGATGACCACATCTCAGAATGTTTGGATTTGAGCACCAACTCTACTTCTAATTTCAACTTCCTACTAATGTGTACCCTCAGAGGCAATAAGTGATAGCTCAAATATTTGGGTTCCTGTCACCTACATAGGAGACCCAGAGTTAGTTCTGTGCTGCTGGTTTTGCCTGACCCACAGTGGTTGTTGTAATCATTTGGGAAGCAAACCAACAGATGGAAGATTGTTTACTTTCTCCCTCTCTTTCTCTCGTTCTGCCTTTTCAATATATGTAATTAAGTAAAAATTATAAAAAATGGCTTAGCTATTTTTTTTTTTTTTTTGGACAGGCAGAGTGGACAGTGAGAGAGAGAGACAGAAAGAAAGGTCTTCCTAAGCCGCTGGTTCACCCTCCAATGGCTGCCGCGGCTGGCGCCCTGCGGTCAGCGCACCACGTTGATCCGATGGCAGGAGCCAGGTACTTCTCCTGGTCTCCCATGGGGTGCAGGGCCCAAGCACTTGGGCCATCCTCCACTGCACTCCCTGGCCACAGCAGAGAGCTGGCCTGGAAGAGGGGCAACCAGGACAGAATCCGGAACCCCGACCGGGACTAGAACCCGGTGTGCCGGCGCCGCAAGGCGGAAGATTAGCCTAGTGAGCCGCGGCGCCGGCCGCTTAGCTATTCGTAAGACTTTGCGTTAAAATCTTTAGACTTTCATTTAAACTTTATGAACTGTACAAAGTAGGTAAAAAAAAATCAACAGTCTCATTCACAATAAATCAGCTTTGTATCTTACAGTTAAGTCTTCGAGAACAGAAAATATCCTTCTAATCCTCATCCACACTTACAAAGAACTAAAATATTTGTATTTCTATTAAGTAAACATTTCCAAATTGCTATGATATTCATAATTATACTAAATGATTATATAATATTGTATCAAATAGAAATATAAACTATAACTAGTATCCCATTATCTTTATTCCCAGCTAATAACCAAAGTATAGCAGGTGATTTAAAATATTTGTTAAATGAATATTTATTTTATAATCTTTATTAAGCATATTATATTAAACATATCTTTTTTCTATATTCCACAATAATTTTACTGAACCACAATTACAGCTGCTGAGATAGATATAGATGATCTGAATCTAGTAACCAATCATCACCATGATCAGAGTCCCAGACAAAATTAGAAATTTACTGAATAACTGATTCATTTATTCAAGGTATTTTTAATAAATACTAGGTACTGATGTAAACAGAGATAAAAGCAACAGCATCTGCCTTCAGAGAGCTTCTTATTTAGTTTTACCTTTCCTCATCCCTTTCCATACTTTGATCCTACCTCCTGCCATCTTTTCTTCTATTATCCTTCTGACTCCAAGTGTCTGACTTCACCTTGCCCAAAGTTTCATCCATCAGTTTCTCATAAAAGTCCCATGCATAGAACTTATACAACTTTGTTCTCCCTTTCCTTATCTCCTTAAAACTAGCAGTCCTTCAACATCAGTACCCTAAGGAGACTTTAAAGGAAAAAAGTCTTATTTGGATATCATATTTAACAGTACACTGATTTTTTTAAAAAAAGGTTTAACCTTGCAAGACAATATTTTTTAAAGTAAGTACTTTTTTATAGTAAGCTTTATTGGGGCTGGCACAATGGCCCAGCGGGTTAAAGCCCTGGCCTGCAGCACCAGCATCACATAGGATGCTGGTTCAAGTCCCGGGTGCTCCTCTTCCTATCCAGCTCTCTGCTATGGCCTGGGAAAGCAGTAGAAGATGGTCCAAGTCCTTGGGCCCCTGCACCCACGTGGGAGATCCAGAAGAAGCTCCTGGCTTCAGACCGGTGCAGCTCCGGCCTTTGCAGTCAACTGGGGAGTGAAATCCTTCACTCTGTGTAACTCTGACTTTCAAATAAATAAATAAATCTTTTTTTTTTAAATAAAACAATAAAAAACCATAAATGAATAATTGGACAACTCTCTTTTGAAGGATTTCCAAGTTTTGATTTATTAAAAAATTAAAAATGGAATAATGGGCACTCACAGAGGAAGGGATCTTGTAGGTCATACATAGCCAGTCCCTCATTTTATAGCCAAAGAAGCACAAAAAGTAACCTACTTAAGGATATCCAGCTAGTCAGCAGTACAGCCTGAGCAAGAACTCCGTTCCTTTAATCCAATATTCTTTACACTGGCGAGTTTGCCCCTAATAAAGTTTTGAATTAATACTGACCTAAGGGATATCTTGGGACATCTTCTTTCAATAAGCTATTTTGTGCCACTTCTTACTCATAAGTATTATGTGGTGAACATAACACAAATTCTTTAGAATTATGGTAAATTAAGGTTTCACTGTATTTACAACAGAAAACAGCTAACCGAAACAAATGAAAATGAAAAGCAAAAATACTTACACATTACCGGAGTTTTCTCTCTGCAATTGATGCCAACCTCAATTTGTGAATTCTGGAGGCCTCAGTTTGGGAAATACTATACTGAAAAGAATAAGAATTGAGCTTAAATCAATTGGAATCAAGTATTTCCCAATATGCTTATGGATACTTAAACTTCTATTAGCAATAATTTTTATATGAAATGATTCCAAACATTGCTCTCATATGGTTAATAATAATTTTCAAACACCAGCTCTGCTAGAAAACACATTTCAGTCAGGAATACATACTTAAAAAAAAAAAGGAGAGAGTGAGATAGAAAAAATGTTTTTAAAAAATGGAAGGCACAAAATAAATGTGCAGAGAAGTTAAATATAAGAAAGAAAAACCATGTCTATTTCTGAGGTGTAACGGAGAGCATTTCATTCCTAAAGAAAAAAAAATACATAATTAAGACAATTCATGGGCTGGTGCTGTGGCACAGTAGGCTAAGCCTCTGCCTGAGGTGCTGGCATCCCATGTGGGCTCGGGTTCGTGTCCTGGCTGCTCCTCTTCTGATTCAGATCTCTGCTATGGCCTAGGAAAGTGGTAGAAGATGGTCCAAGTGCTTGGGCCTCCACAACCATTTAGGAAACCTGGAAGAAGCTCCTGGCTCCTGGCTTCTATTAGCCCAGCTATAGCCATTGTGGCCATTTGGGGAGTAACCAGCGAATGGAAGACCTTTCTCTCTGTCTCTCTGTCTGTAACTCTACTTCTCAGATAAATAAATAAATATTTTTTAAAAAAGACAATTCAAATGAAGACTCAAGTTTGCTTCTATATATATAACATATTTCAAACAAGTCAACATCCAAAAAGTACCTTCACTTTATTATAAATTTTAAATATAATATTTAAATAGAATTGGGGCCAGCGCTGTGGCGTAACGGGTAAAGCCACTGCCTGCAGTGCTGGCATCCCATATGGGCATCGGTTTGAGTCCTGGCTGCTCCACTTCCCATCCAGCTTTCTGCTATGGCCTGGGCAAGCAGTGGGAGATAGCCCAAGGCCTAGGGTCCCTGCACCCATGTGGAAAACCTGGAAGAAGCTCCTGGCTCCTGGCTTTGGATGGGTACAGCTCCGGCCATTGTGGCTAATTTTGGGTGAACCAGTGGATAGAAGACCTCGCTCTTTCTGCCTCTACTTCTCTCTTTGTGTAACTATGACTTTCAAATAAATAAATAAATCATTAAAATAAATAAATAGAATCCATTGTCTCAAATGCTTAACAAGAGATATGGTAGGGATCTCATCAAGGAGCCAAAATCTTCTGTCCTGGACAATAGGCAATGTTGTTTTTATGTGATTCAATATTTCATGGTCATATTTTCTATAAATTGAATTGTTTATAAAGTTGTAGCTGGCCGGCACTGCGGCTCACTAGGCTAATCCTCCCCCTGCAGCGCCGGTACCCTGGGTTCTAGTCCCGGCTGGGGCTCAGGATTCTGTCCTGGTTGCCCCTCTTCCAGTCCAGCTCTCTGCTGTGGCCCAGGAAGGCAGTGGAGGATGGCCCAAGTGCTTGGGCCCTGCACCTGCATGGGAGACCAGGAGGAAGCACCTGGCTCCTGGCTTTGGATCGGCTCAGCGTGCCGGCCGTAACAGCTCTTTGGGGGATGAACCAACGGCAGGAAGACCTTTCTGTCTCTCTCTCACTGTCTAACTCTGCCTGTCAAAAAAAAAAAAAAAAAAATATATATATATATATATATATATAAGTTGTAGCCATGAGTCATTTTAAATAACAAATGGAAAGCTGGTGCCACTGACAAAGTCTTAGGATACAACCAGACCAGCATCATATCAACTAATGGTAGGTTAATTTTCTAATACTGGACAAGTGTGCATACAAAAGGACTTCTAGTAATAAAGCATTAATAGCGCCTTCAGAAAAACAAGTTGAAGTATAGAAATCACAAGCACATCAAGAGGAAGAAATTACTGCGTTAACCCACATAAACTATCTACTAATGACAGAAAAAAAAGCAGCAACAGATACAAGATGTATGTTAGATGGCTGGTCTTTGCTATGTGTCTGTCTACGAGAAATGGAAGAGAGGGGAGGAAAGACCTATTTCAGCCAAGAATTTCATACAGTGTCTTGGAATGGAGAGTGAAAAGAATGAAGAAATAAGTGTAATTTTTTTACCTTTTGGATTGCTGAAAATGGTCAGAATGGATATATGTGTTTTTTACAACTATGACATCACTCTACCTCAGGCTCACTGAACAATTTCAGGCAGTAAATGTGCAATGGTTTACATAATCTTCAAGTATGTCTAAAATCTCATTGCTAAGTAGCAAAGAGAAAATGTAAATTCTGACCAGGTCAAACATTTTTTAAAATTTCATATCATATTATCACAAACACTTTCTACTTAAGACTTTATGTACATAAAATATTTTCAGATTTTGAAAATCAGTTATTTTATTGGTAGAATAGCAGGCTTATTTATATGGAATTTTGAATTATGAATGTGCTACAATCAATTCCAAATACATTTTTTGCTACATCAAGTTGTTTGATATAGTAAGGACATTGTGTTGTTTTTGGTTTTTTGTGTTTTTTTTTTTGACAGGCAGAGTGGACAGTGAGAAAGAGAGAGAGAAAGGTCTTCCTTTGCCGTTGGTTCACCCTCCAATGGCCGCCGTGGCCGGCGCGCTGATCCGAAGGCAGGAGCCAGGTGCTTCTCCTGGTCTCCCATGGGGTGCAGGGCCCAAGCACTTGGGCCATCCTCCACTGCCTTCCTGGGCCACAGCAGAGAGCTGGACTGGAAGAGGGGCAACCGGGACAGAATCTGGCGCCCCGACCGGGACTAGAACCCGGTGTGCCGGTGCTGCAAGGGGGGGGGATTAGCCTAGTGAGCTGTGGCGCCGGCCTAGAACATTGTTTTAACTGTGATTCTATGTTCTACTAAACTTCTTTTACTATTACTCAAAAAACATTTTTGATGTTGAATATTTTGATTATTTTAAAGTAGTATTCACAGTAATACCAAATGTTTCTTCTTTGACAGAATGAACGTCCAGAAACTGTACTCTGATTATCCCAAATGGATGTCAAGGACTCAGATATTTGAGCCATATCTTGCTGCCTCCCCAGAAGCGCATTAGCAAAATGCTGAATGGAAAGCAGAGTAGCCAGGATTCGAACCAGGCATTACAATATGGGATGTGGGCAGCCTAAGGAGGGACCACTGCACCAAACACCTAGGCTCACCTGTCTTATTTTGACTTTCCCAGTTTTATTTGTGTGTGTGTTTCAATGCTGTGTTTTTTTGTTTGTTTGTTTGTTTTTTTAAGATTTATTTATTTGAAAAGCAGAGTTACAGAGAGGCAGAGGCAGAGGCAGAGAATCTTCCATCCGCTGGTTCACTCCCCAGATGGTCACAACTGCCAGAGCTGGGCTGATATCTCTCTCTCTCTCTCTCTCTCTCTCTCTCTCTCTCTCACACACACACACACACACACACAAAAGATAAGGAGGAAGGACAGTGATCAGCTACTAAATCACAATGAAGATCAGTCTCCTTAGTTCTGAAATAAATCTTACCAAGATACTACAAAACAACTACAGAAGATGACTCCTAGATGCATAATACCATTAAAAGGAGTCTTATACTGTGTACAAAAATGACTGTCCCTCATCCAGAAATTTGGTTGGAGCTGAAGTATCTGGCATCTCTTTGAGAATACGGATCTGCTCTGGAGAGAACAGTAACACAAAGGAATAACTGAGGATTAATATATAGACACCTCTTGTATCCAGAGTACACACAACCCAAAGGTAGGAACCTTTTCTTCTATGTCTTCTGAGTCCCTCAAAAGGAAAGCAGTTATAGACACAAGGCAGGTACAGAAACATTTATTAAATGGGTGAGGTCAGCACTGCAGAAGCAAGGGAAAGGGAAGACATCAAAGAATCATAGGATTTCAGAGCCAGAAGTATACTTGGAAATTCTGTTTCAATTACACCTTTCATAATTTGAGAAATTCTGTAATTGAATTAAAGTAAAACACTTGCCTATGACCAAATATATCATCAAATTTATGACTCAATTCTCATGGCTTTTAATTTTAAGTTCTACTGTGCCATATTTCTGGAAGAGAACAATTCCTTAAGGAAATCTGTGTGTTAATTAGTTAACACGGGCTTTGAAGGCCAAATACATTCATATGTAAATGAGAAGTTAAATTGTCAGAAGAGTTGAGGTAGTAAGCAAGTAAGAAATAGAACAGATAACAAAAATAAAACAAACAGATAAAATCAAAAGGGAAAAAGTTGAACACAGACAGCAAAAACAGGAATAAAAAGGGTGGCCAAAAGTATAAAAGGAATAAAAGTAAAAAAAAATGGAGAAAGAGGATTGGAAAATTGTGAGAAATGTTTAAAGAGGGATAGTAAGATGGTACATGGAGAATTTTTAATGCTGTTTACAGTTTTTTAAAATAAACTATGACACTGACCATTCCCAAAGTGAAATCTATAAACTAATAATATCCAGTCAACCCACAATCTTACACTGAAAATCTGTTCCTATTCAGTACCACATATTCACTTGTACGTGATGCTTATCAGACTAGAGTGGAAGGGAAGTTTGGTTTTAAAGATCATCTCTTGCACCAGCTTGTTTTACTTCATTTCCCCTGTGTACATCATCACTATATTGCAAACTTCTTACTTCCTCTTTGAATTACCATTTGCATTTGTTAGCACCTAAAATTAATTGTTGCTATCACTGGAATACTTTTCTCTCAAGCAACACAATATGTGGTTTTTCTTTTCTATTTTTTTTTTTTTTTAAGATTTATTTGTTTTATTTGAAAGGCATAGATACACAGAAAAGGGCTGGCACTGTGGTGTAGTATGTTAAGCTTCCACTTGTGGCACTGGCATCCCATTTGGGCTCTGGTTTGAATCCTGGCTGTTCCACTTCAGAGCCAGCTCCCTGCTAATGGCCTGGGAAAACAGTGGAAGACAGGTCAAGTGCTTGGGCCCCTGCACTTATGTGGGAGACCTGGAATAGGCTCCTGGCTTCAGATTGGCCCAGTTCTGGCCATTGAGA